GTACTACATTGCTGGTGTTTGCCAGATCACCAAAAAGTAGTGCAGTGGTAGTACTTTGCGTCCTCGGGGCTGATCCTGCTAACACTGCATTTTTGGGGATGTCACAAGTCCAATGACAAGATAGTTGAAGTGTGGACTCTTTTGCATAGTTATGCTGGTCCAGCTTGGACCAAAATAAGTTTGCATGTAGGCACTGCTACTACAGCAAGTGCTGCTAGCTTCTGGGTCCCTACCCTGCTTAGTAAACACAAGAGGTCACTCACTTAGCACAGGCACCACTCAGGGAAGTTGAGCAACTGCCAAATGTTCTATAAATGGGGAAAAAAAACCCTTACAACTTACTGGCTTTCACTACTAATTGCATTTCTGATTCAGGTAGTACAAGACATTCTTACTGCAACATGAAATATATCATCTTCGGAAAAAAGTTGTAAAACTTCAGTGGTGTTGCACACCTTCAAGTGGGACGCAGACATGAGGACAATATACTTGCTGCATGCACCAAATACTGTTTGTTTTTTTTTTACCTTTCTATGTTTTCGTCATCTTCCATTGTGACTTCTCTGTGATTTTTCAGCTTCCTATGTATTATTGAAGCAATGTCTTTAGCTGCAGCAGACAAACGTTTTCCTTAATTAAAAAAAAAAAAAAAATCTATTAAAGTGAAATGTCTTAGGGAGGGGAGAGGGGATAAAAGGGAAACCAAGCTGTGAACTCTGCAAAATGATCTGCTATTCATAAACCCCAGAAAATCTAGTAAACCATCACTGTGAAGCGATTTACTTCATGCCTATTTACTATTATTTATATATTAGCAATCACCTTTAAGCACATGCCGCCCAGCCACTGTAGAAATACGGCGGCAGGGCGGCATGGCTGGGCAAAACCACATTTTAAAACGTGTGTTTTTAAAACAGGTAGGGGGGCGCGCACAAGGCGCACCGCCGCCCTACCTGTCCCGCCAATCACGGCCGCGGATGTCAGTCGCCGGGTCACAGCCGGTCATTACCGGCTATGTCCCGGCGATTAGCGGCAATCAGTGACAGAGGGCACAGCTGCAGTAGCTGTGCTTTCTGTCAGTTCCCTGACAGCTCCTGACATGTTGAAGATTTTATCTGTCCCGATCAGTGGTGTTCCCTGCAGTACACACCCCCGCCCCCTAGTAAAACACTCCCCTCACACAGTTAACCCTTTCACTGAATAATAAAGTTAACCCCTTCCTCCCCAGTGCCATTAGTACAGTGTCAGTGTTATTTTTTTGCACTGATCACTGTATTGGTGTCACTGGGGATGTCAGTGACCCCAAGTCAGTTCCCCCCCAGTGTCAGAATATCCGTTGCAGTCCCGCCATAAGTTGCTGATCGCCGCCATTATTAGCATAAAAAAAAAATTTAAAATCCCAGTATCTTTCCCACCATTTGTAAACGCTATAACTTTCACGTAAACCAATTAATTTACACATATTGGGTTTTTTGCAGCAAAGACATGTTGCAGAATGCATTTTGGCAGAAATTTATGGCTAAATTTGATTTTTAATTTTTTTTTTTTACTGGACATGTTTTATAGCAAAAAGTCCAAAATATTGTTTTTTTTCCTCAAAATTGTCAGCCTTTTTTTTATAGCGCAAAAAAAAATAAAAACCGCCCAGGCAATCAAATACCACCGAAAGAAATTTGTGGGGAAAAAAAGATGATGTTGTACCGTTAAACTAGCGCAGCGCTGTATAACAAACAAATGGTGTAAATTGCAGTACCTATACCATAGTTTGTAGACTCTATAACTTTCTCACAAAGCAATCAATATACACTTATTGGGATTTTTTTTTACCAAAAACATGTAGCAGAATACATTTTGGCCTAAATTTATAACTAACTTTGAGTTTTACTATATATTTTTTATAGCTGAAAGTAAAAAATATTGTTTTTCTTCAAAATTTTTTTGTTTATAGCGTGAAAAATAAAAAGCGCACAGGTGATCAAATACCACCGAAAGAAAGCTATTTGTGTTTATAAAAAAGGACGTAAATTTCGTTTGGAAGCAGCATTGCATGACCGCGCAATTATCAGTTGAATTAGTGCAGCGCCGAGTAGCAAAAAGAGGCCTGGTCATTAAGGGGGGTAAATCATCAGGAGGGCAAGTGGTTAATAGCTGCTGCAGATTCATAAATTGAAAAAAAAAAAAAAAAAAAGAAAAAAAAAAAAAAAAAAACGCAGGTTTTTCCAGGTTTCAGTCACATGATTTAGGACTGCAAAAATTTCACACTGCTACCTACCCTCTTCCCTAATACCGCCACGACAAATATGGACTGAACTTTAGAGGTTTGTAGTAAAGATGTTTTAAACAAGAGACTTGATATCCCAATAACCGTTTGGTGGGTTTTCCATTAATATGGCCACAAGAAAGTATCAGAGTAAGTCAGAAGGAGTTTCCATTCAAACAAGAAATCCAAGTTTGAATTGTTCTACTAAAACAATTATACAGTATACACAATGTAGATGTGTTCTTTAGGCTGACAAACCAAGGAGAAAGTGCCTCATATACCTTTACTGCTGACCATAAGGATATGTAGGGATGCAGTCAAGCTCACTATCCCCTCAATTTCTTCCACTGAAACACATGTAGCAAGTTCACCTAAAAATGAACTGTAAAAAGAATACGATTAATTAAAAAAAAAAAAAACGCTGGAAAAACTGCATCTTTCTCTGAGAAAAGTGTTTGAAATTGATCAGTCCTACATACATAAGTTTAAAATCCATGTGACTTTTTTTTTTTTTCCAGTGGTCTGTGTTGTGCAGTTTCTGTTCTAATCCATTTATTAAACCCCAACACCACAATGAACTTTAATGGAATATAATACAAAGTATTTGCACTATAAATATGCAATACAACTTACTTCAACACACTGGGCGTCTTTATAACAACAGATATAAGGCACCTAGACAATGGTGGCAACTCCAATACAGATGCTGGAATGACAATCTCATCTGGATCTGAAATCTAACCATACAACAGATTTACTTTTTAGATTTTTACAGTTATTTGGTAATAAAGCAATCCGTAATACGCATGATTGCCATTATGCTTTGCGAATCAATAAACAAAATACAATACATAATCAACAATAATCATTTAATCCCTTAAACCTGCACGCCAAGCTGAACTGTGGTCTGGGATTAAAAAAAAAACTCTTGAAGTGGGGGTCCCTGCACTGCAAGAGTTAAATGCTAGTTAAATCTAAACTTGGCCACAGAGGGGAGTCCACCAAGTGATACAGCCTCTTCCTCCAACTACTAAATATAAGGAGCATTACTGAGGGATCCCACAGCTAGGGGATACCGATAAAAGTATCCTTCTGTTTTAGAGGCCGTTTGGTTCTTAGTACGGACCTCCTCTCCCAGTCTGTGTGCAGCTGGCCGCAGGTGACCATGCTATGCTAGGCAGGCAGCAGGATCAAATAGAAGATCCATGTTTCCCATGGTTCTATGCATGCAGGGATAGCATGAGGAAGATGCTTCCTTGACAATTTATGATGGGAAAGAGCATTTGCACAGCAAAACTGAAGAAAATATGTCCACCCCAAAAAAAGAAAAAAAAAATTATGAGCAATGCTGGGTATGAAAGTGGTTACTCTGGGCTGGCCTGCAGTTTTTTTTTTTGTTTGCCAATGTCCAGTTTCCATGTAGGTAAAGATTAAAAAAAAAAAAGTTCCTGTGTCCCTTGATGGCCAAGAAAGAAAAGGGTTACGTGTTTTTTAATACATCACCAGCCCATACATAATGAATGGGCTGCCATTAATGAAAACCCACATTAATGAATGTGAGTTAGCACGCTGCAAGAAAATGCTAACATGTGAATCAATGCTTAAAATTAACACTTGAGATTTATATTTTCAAAAAAGGTATGACCACACCTTTACATTACTGAGTGTCAGAAAAACCATCTGCTTAAAGGGAAACTAAACCTAAAAAACTTTTTTTTTTTTTTTTTTTACCTTAATGCATTTCTTTCGAAAAAGTAAAAAATGTTTTCAGTTTCTCTGTCCTCCCCCTTCCCTTTGTGAAAGGGAGGAACGGTGAGAACAGATCTAAAGCTGTGCACGGCAGCATCCCTTCTTCCCCTTCACACAGGGACTCGAGTGCGGCTCCATAGACACACAGCTTGGGAGTGAGCAGACACTATGTGCTTCTATAGCAGCTGTTTGCCATGGGAACACGCAAAGAGGAGGAGCCAAGAATCGCTGGAGGGGACCCAAGAAAAGGAGGATCTGAGCTGCTCTGTGCAATACCACTGTAGGCGAGCAGAGCATGTGTTTTTTTTGTTTTTTTTTTTTTAATAAAAATAAGCTAGACTTTAGTAACACTTTAAAGATAACTGAAGAAAGGCAAGAAAGAAGAGAGATAGATTAAAAATGGAACACAAATGTTTCCAAATGGAGAACAGCCCTTTGAATGACTAAAGACCATCTATACCTACTTTACGCAACACATGGCTGATTTCCACTACCACAGCTGCGATAATTGTGGAGAGCGTCCCACGGTGGACTTCTGAAGATGCCATCTTCCAGCACTGAACTGTGGTCACAAACTGTGCAATAGGCAGCTGAATGGAGTGCAGCAGCTACAGATCAAGGAGCAAAAACAACATGATCAGATGGAGAACTTTGTACATTAAAGACAGACAAGAGATAAAACTAAACCTCATAGGAAATGTTCCATGAAAGATCTACAAGAGAAGGTTTTTTTTTTTTCACTAGGGGGAATGTTCCCCAGTGGAAAGACTAGTTTACAAACAGAAGTGATACCCACTAGCAGATGTAGAACCTTTAATCACGATTTGTGAAAATAAGTCTTTTATAGGTTGTACTAGAAAGTTTTACATCATTTTTGGCAACGTCTTTCTTGTATTATTGATACCTGGAGAGCTTCATTTTGCTGTTTCCTCAGTCTGCGAGCTGAAATCTCTATAGCTTTATGGAAGCATGTCTGTATAGCATCAAGGTGTTTATCCAAGTCGGCTCTGTCATCATTCATCTTACTAAGTAAACAAACTTCTGTTATCTCCTTCAGTACAGAAAGAAATGTTGGCAGCAAATCACAGCACTTTTCTGAAAGGTACAAGCAGAATATAGTTCACAGTTGCTACCTGCTCATGAAGTTGGCATCACCTAAAAACACCAACTGCAAGCAAAAGTATAAAGTCGGATAATATTAAACATTCTATCAGTGTTATTGCTGTCTGCATCCCTGTTGAGGACGTTTTACCCTTTCTGTCCCAGTGACACAAACAGGGCATTACTGGGAACTGAATGTTTTGCTTTCCCTCTTTGGAATGCATTTCCTAAGTATTCCTGTGGAACATCAGATACACAGTAAAAATAGCAGCACAATATACCAAACCAATAGGGAATAGAAAGAAACAGGTGGAAGAGGACTAAGGGGTGATCAGTTACAACCTGCCCTCTCCCAGGCACACATACCTCTATACAGAGCTTTAAAGGGTAACTCCCCTTTTGTGGGAAAAATCGCAATTAAAAAAATATAGCATATACAATTGCTATACAAGTCATATTGTAATTGCACTTTGTTCAAAATGACCTTTCCTTTTCAATGTGTAGCGCTGTAACTTTCTCTAAAATGCAATGCAAAATTGCAACCTGGAGATGTTCTGTATACAGATTGTATAGGATGCCTGTCAGAAATGTAATTTCCTGCTTGTGTGATTAGCTGTTTCCCAGACGTCTGCACTAAAATACATATCAGATTTTGATCATCCCTTGCAAAAAAACATGCAAGATACTCCCAAAAGGAAATCACATCTAAAAAGGATGCAGACCCTGCCACTTTCCTCATTAGAACTCTGAAAGTGCAGCAGCTGATTGATCATTATAAATCTCTTCCATTCATTTTGCACATGTACACAGACAAACCGCTATTTTTTTCAGAACAAAAAAGCTGGGAAACTGCAACAAAATTTGTTAAAATCCTTGCAGTGTACCATAGATAACCCAGAGGGGAATGTGCTTTTTCCTCAACAAAAGTGGAGCTACTCTTTAACCACTTGCCCTCTAGAGGATTTACGCCCTTCCTGACTAGGCCATTTTTGCAATACAGTGCTGCGTTACATTAACTGACAATTGCGTGGTCATGCAACGCAGTACATAAATTAAATTTATGTCCTTTATTTCCAAATAATAGAGCTTTCTTTCGGTGGTAATCGATCACTTGTGCGGTTTTTATTTTTGGTGCTATAAACAATAAAATACCGACAATTTAAAAAAAACAAAAAAAAAAACAAAACAATATTTAAATATTGTTTTAAAATTCTTGTGAAAAATCCTCCAAGTTGTGACAGATCAGCAGTCCTTAAAGGTCAGAACCTAGGGTAACTACTCCCCTGCTCTAGGACCCTCAGATTCAAAGCAAGGCCTGGGGTCCTGTTCTATCCAGGTGCACATAAACTGAACCGTACAAAACTTACCAATCTGTATTACGGAAATTAGAATTTGAAGAAGCTGTGCTTGAAAATCTGAGTCACCAAGGCCAACCATTACCACATCTTTACATACTGTCAGATATGTCTATTTAGTGACAAGAAAAGAATAACACAAAATGTAATTTCCGCATTCTAGAATATTGAGGCGCAATTTCAAACACAATAGAGCTCATTGTGCTTTAGAGAGATGAATCACTACGTAGCAATAAAATCCCAGCAATTCAAAATGAAAATAGTACTTGTATGTATGATAAAGAGACAAATCACTTTGATGAATGAATGGTATTTGACCACTGTGTGCTGAATGAAGAAGCGTTCTACTTTACCTGAAGATTTTGATCTTAGTATATACCTATAGCATATTAACCACTTCAATACCGGGCACTTTTACCCCCTTCCTGCCCACGCCAATTTTCAGCTTTCAGCGCTCTCACACTTTGAATGACAATTGCGCGGTCATGCAACACTGTACCCAAACTAAAATTTTATAATTTTGTTCACACAACTAGAGTTTTCTTTTGGTGGGATTTAATCACCGCTGGGGTTTTTATTTTTTGTTAAATTAACAAAAAAAGACCGAAAATTTTTCTTTGTTTCCGTTATAAAATAAATAATTGTTCTTCATGAATTTAGGCCAAGATGTATCCTGCTACATTTCTTTGGTGAAAATAACTCAAATCAGTATTTATTTATTCTGTAGGAAAGTTATAGAGTTCACAAACTATGGGATATATCTGAAAATTGACCAATCCTGAAGTACTGACAGCCAATCTAATTTCTTGAGGTTCAAAAATGTCAGAACAGTCCGACGTATTTCATAACAGGCATGGCAAGCTTTTTGAAGTTGTAATTTGTTTGTCATAATTTTTTGGAAAATGAAATGAAAAAAAAAAAAAAAAAAAAAGAAAAAAAAAAAGTTCACAATTTTTTTTATTACATACTGTAACCAGTGCAGTACAGCATCATCATATAATTTTAATTTTTTTTATTACATTTTTTCATACTGCACTATGGCCAAAGTAGTATAATGTTGCCATAGCAACATTGTACTATTTTGGGGAAGTGATCAATATTTTTTATTTTTTTTTTTTTTTTTACACAATTTGATTATAGCAAAGAATTTATTTGCTGTAAGCAAGCATTTAACTGAATGAAATCAATTCGTTCAGTTTTTTTGTAGTGATTAGCTGTGATTGGCCATGGCTAATCACATGACACAGATGGGCTGTGATTGGCCCAGCCTGTGCATGTGATCGCTGTGACCATTCACAGCTAGACACACTTGTATACAATGGATGGCATGAAAGGAAACCAACTATTGTATACAACTGTCATGTGACCTGCTGTGATTGGTCACAGCAGATCACATGGTACTGGCAACGGTACACAGATCTGTCATCGGCCGTGTCCGAGGTACACAGCCGGTGACAGATCTCGCCACAGAGCAGCCCTGCGGGCATGCGCAATCCGGGAAGGACGCCATACGGTTAATATATACTTATATAGTATATTTAACAGATACCTGCATTATACAGATTTTATGATATCACACACTGTAAGCAAGCCTCCCTCCCTACATTTGAATTTTCTATTTATGTTGCAGAGAGGGCTGGACAAGGAGAGTATCTCCCCTCCCCTATTGTAAAAAAAGTTGGTTTGTGGTGTACAATGTGATATACAGAGAGCGATCTAGCAGTTTTGTATTTGAAAACTTGTTACCAGTTGGAAGATCCTGTCTTCCCTTGGTGAAGAAACATGATGTGACTCCTGATTATGCAAAGCTGTGACTGTTGCAAAAGTGATAAAATCTTGTAGTCATCAAGAAGTACCCACCTTTATGTGCCAGGGTTTAGTCTTGCTTCCAAACCAGATGTAATGCGTGTATTTATGCAATGAGATAATAGACAATGTTTTGGAGCGGTCTAGGCTGTATACAGAGATGCAACTCCCCTTCAAAAATATCAGTATTAAAAAGGAACAGAAGAAAAACTTATTTTCCCATGCTGGTGTTCACAACAGCTGTCACCAGCACTTTCACCCCTCCAGTAGAGGCACATTGCTCAAAGTCAGGGTGCATAAGTAGTCAACTCGTTAATATTCTCATTTGTTCTTTAAAAATATCCCAAATGCCTGTTTCCCAGTTGAAGATGGGGACCTGTGTGTGTGTTAGCGTGTGGGTGTGTTAGCAGCGATTTGACATACCCTTATACAGTCACAATTACTATTGCTCTGTTCCAGGGTTTCTCAACTGGGGTTCCATGAAACCCTAGGGATCCACACAGGTGTCAAACGTGCTAGGGGTTCTTTGAGTAGTAAGCAATTTCTGCCTCTTTGATAAGTTCCCACTGACAACATTGATCTTGTTTACCATCTGTTCTTCCTAATGACCACAAGTATAAGCAGCATTCTTTCTAATGACTATCACATTAATGTATCATGAGTTGTAAATATGATATTTTTTACCAGGGGTTCCCTGAGACCAGAAAGTTATTTTTATGGGTTCCTCTGTGTTGCAAAGGTTGAGAAAGGCTGCTCTATTCATTCAGATGGGAGTATGGACATTCCCATTTGGAGAACAGTAATTATGACAGTTCAGGTATGTGAAATCACTAAAGATAGAATGCTGCTCTTAAACAGAGCACAGCAGTCTTTATCTTAATTGGGCTGCTGGGGAATTTGGGCTAGTTATCCTATTAAAGTATAAATTATTTATTTTCGCTTCAAGTAAAATGTTTAGCCTCAATTGAGCTCTAACAGTCAAGTGGACCAATGATCAATTACATTTAAAAAAAAAAAAAAAAAAAAAAAAAAAAAAAAATTATTTGCCCCCTACCCAGCAAGAAAAACATTGTTACAGAAGCATCCTATTCAGCACTATTTGTATTTCAACTTCCTAGTTTCAATGATGAAAACAGAAACATTTAACGGAGGGACCGCTTAGAAACAAAACTAGTATTGCTACCACACCAAAGCAGACACATTTTGCCTGAAATGATACATACAGGAAACATTAGAAAACACAAGCAGATCTCACCTGAAGGATCTGTTGAGCCATTGTAATCTGCTGCTCCGTGAAGGAGTCACTGCTTCCAAGGATTCCAAGAACCTGACTTTCAACCCAACCACCAGTATCCTCCAGCACTGACAAGTATATTCTTCCTTCCGAACGGAACTACACAACCAGAAATAAAAATACACATGTGCAATTTATAAGCCTAGCTACGCTAATACTTTTCCATACTTTAAAATCATAATGCTTAATTTATGTTCGATTACTAATAAATGAATTCCTTTTTTTTTCTTTAACAGAGAGCAAAAGAATCTGCACATTCCTTACACACAAACGAAATAGGATTTCTCAGGAACATTACCTTGTAATGGAGGTGGATACTGAGCCTGCAGTAAAGACTAAAGGCATTCAGGGAAGTTTCTTGGCTAAGAACAGAGGTTACTTCTTCAGACGGCTTCACAAAGGAACACAGAACCTTCTAAAAATGCAAAACAATTTTTACCAGAGTAAACACGACATACAACTGAAGCTAAAATTAGAATTTTTTTATGTTTTTTGTTTATATTTTGTATCTTTCTACCATTTTTAAACGTATGCTTTACAAATAAACATTTAATCAGTGTGCGCCTCTGACACCTTATTCACAGGGCACTATGGATCATCTAACGCGGGGATTCTTTAATGAAGGTATCCTTACCCCTCAAGTTTGAGAGCCAAAAAGATGGGAGTATGGGACTAGACCTATGAATACATTTAAAAAAAATTGGAACAGGGTTTTCTATATTAAACCTGAAATTGAAGTGGACATGTTGATTTGACAGATGACATATAATTGTTTGTTGTATTATTTTTTTATATAGCATTATGTTACTGCCAATGTATTTTTTAACTTTGTATGACTGATACATGAGGGGTTACAGATGATAGGACAATGCATCAACCACAAAACATTCAAGCTGGATACTCTTTTAAACAGATAACTATACTTTGTAAACACCTCAGCTCTGGCATCTCCCACCAGACAACTTTCTGCGAACACCACTGGCTGAAGGGACCTGCGATGAATGCAGTCAGGCCCAGCCACCTTTACCAACATGTGACAAATGGCTAGTCAAACCTACACTGTGCGGTCACAAACTTGTGACAATGACACTTTCAGCTTCGTCTAGAACAAATATTTTCCAGTTTGTGGGACCACAATCTAAGGACCAGCAAACAAATTGATGGACACTAGTATTTTTTAGTCAGTTAATTGGTCACACTGCCACAGGTATTTTAGCAAACATTTTTACTCTTGAAATAGTCAGCCAGGAATGTGTATTCGGTTTTCTACAAGCTAAACTACTTTCCAGGTAATAAAGCCAGACTGATGCTATTAGCCAGCCTCTGTCTTGATCTTAGTTAAGAGGTTTTGGTGTGCTCTGTCAGTGTACTGATAATGAAAGTTTGGAATGAGGTAAAAAGGCTTTTAGATGCAGTCCTGGTGTACTTTCCATGGGTGAAGTATGGAATTAATTTCATGCTGCCTTATTGCACCAAATTCAAATATGAATGTAACCTGTGTTGCAACTTTGTGAATTTCACCTTAGTAAGGGTATCCTGGTGTTTATAACTCCAGACATCATCACAGGACCAGTCTTCCAGGTTAGGCTGCTGACAGTTGAAAAAAGTCCACCTGTCGATTTTCACGTTGGGCATCGGCATGGCAGATTAATCTGGCCCTTTGGGAAGCCATTGAAGAAAGAACTTTGTAGGGGGGTCCTATCTATCTGATAAAGGATTTGAGAACCCATCCCATCATTCTTCCTCCTACCTCTCTGGCCCTTTGGGAAGCCATTGAAGAAAGAACTTTGTAGGGGGGTCCTATCTGATAAAGGATTTGGGAACCCATCCCATCATTCTTCCTCCTACCTCTCTGCCTTTGCAAGGCCATGGCTTGCTGAGACTTCGTAGGCATTTTATAGCCTACAAGGGAGTAGTCACCCAGTTGAGGGAAGTGTCTGCACAAGGCACAGTCAGTCAAAGCTAGAACACCTTATGGCTGAATCTAGAATCAATAGAGGCCTGTACATCCACATGGTAAAATTTGCAAAAAAGTGAGAACAGAGCAGGTGGAGGTCTTGTAAATCTGACAGACTCCCAGTGCTGAATTGCCCAAGAGGTACCGATGGAACAAGTCAAGTGAGCCTTAACAGGAAAATGATTCCAATTCCTGCAGGGCATAAACCTTAACTTGCCTACTTCACTTAGAGATGGTTGAACAAGATGCAGGATAGCCCTTGGAAGAGCCCGCAAACAGAACAAACAGAAAATACAAGGTTTGGATTGACAAAACTGCAGACAGATAAACTGGTACTTATACTACATAAAAAAAAAAAGTAGAGATCTCTTTGGGGTGATAGAACGCTGTACTTAAGGTGGAAATCACCTCAGGGAGAAATGAGGCTTAGGAACCTTTTGTCCCCAATGTGATTAAAAAAAAAAAATGTTTTTAAATTGTAAAAATTTAAAGTTAGACCAAGACCTTGTCCCACAGCCGCGGCCTCTTTTTCACTGCCCTCTATATAAATAACAGCTCCAGGAATGCTCTGATAGGCCTGTAGAAGGAGCTAGAGGCTCTGAGCACATAGCCTGTGATTACTCTCTCCTTCTGGTCCTGTGTCCCGTCGGTGACGTCACATCCGCCTGTGAGTTCCATGCTGGTCAGCAGGGCGGCGGCTTCTTGCTCCACTTCAGATTGCCTCCCTGGACTTCACTTCCAGCACTACCATCTGACCTTTCTCCACTGGCAGTTCCTTACGGGATGGAGAAAAGACCCCACCCCTTCTGGATATGCAGATATGCTTTACCTTTATTTACTCCTGTGAGTGCATTTCTACTGTTTGTCAAAGTTTTTTAACCATACTGCACTTAGTGGCACCTCCTTCCCTCTCTCCATTGTACAGAGCTGGCTCACTCTGAAATCCCCAAGTATATTAAGAACATAATATATACACATATATATATGGACTCCATTTGGCAGTGTTTTAATCTCATTTAATTTATATCATTGCTTGTGTACTCATGTCCTCTGCCTCTTTTTTGCACTAGAATTTTATCTTGTTTCCCTTTAATATTAGAACCTTTTTAACTTTAATAAACTTTTTTAAAACTTTAATTCGTTTTTTTTAACCTGTAGCGCAGTCCGACATTATTTCTTTCTTTGCAGGGACTAACACTGGAGCAATAATTTCAAGAAATGTTCATTATCATGCTTGAATATACTGGAAAATCAATTCTGAATTGAAATCAAATTTACATGTGATCTCAATTTAAAGTTTCCTACTGTATTTCTGGACACACTGTCCAGTGATACAGCAGAAAAACTCTTTAAGAGTCTCCTCATTTTGGACAAAAGCAATGATTTACGTTTTACAATACTGTGCCACAACCATGTGGTGTATATTTACCACTATGATGTTGGATAACCAGAAAAGTCAGCAATAGGAATTATGTTGTCTTGGTCCTGTAATGCACAGAAATCTTAGCTATAGCTATGCAAGGCCTAGCGCATGTAAAGGAGCCAAACTTTCCAAACGCATACACTTGAGAGAAACCAACAATGAATAAACGTAGTGCTTACTTTAACAAGCCCCAGCTGTTTTAAAAAGGTTATTTAATTTGTTTGGTTGTGCAGACAGAAGATAATCTCGGTTCATGTTTTGGGTCATAAGATATTCAATATATTTAAGAGCCAAGTCTGGTTTGCACTCCATTGTATCCTGGATGCGCACTTTACGTGCAGTCTCTTTCTTTTTCTAGAAGAAAAAAAAATGCACAGTGCATTATTACTTCAATCACCAGACACAGGTATAAAAGAAAAAAAAAATCAGGACAAAGGAGGAGTAACCTATAGGACAAATAAAACAAAAAGGAAAGGAGGAAAAAAGTCACAACTGCTCAATGTAATGTTTTTGTAGTACAGGTAGCACGCTCAAAGCTCATATGTTACTTGGTATTATTAACACTTTCCCTTTTGTCCAGTTTTCACACTGTCTGGTGTAAAAAAAAAACAAAAAACCCCACACAAGATTATAGATTGTTCAATCTAGAGGGCCAGCAACTAAGTAATTAGTCATGAAGACTGTACAGCAGGGGTGCACAACCTGTGGCCTGCGGTCACGTGTCTTTCAGATCCCTTTAATCTGGCCCTTGACCTCAAACCAGGAAAGTGCACTTCTATTACATCCTGGAGGTTTGGTGCACTCTCTGAAAGTGAACCACACCCACAAGATTAATGGAAGTCTATGGCAAAGGGCAGCTAATTCCCAGGAAAACCGCAGGTGCCTTATAGGGGGCTCAAGACAGTAGGAGCTCGTTTACATTAGCAGTTTGGGGGGGTTGAGATATATTTTTACCACATACCACCACTAGTGTAGCATCAGGGGTCTCAATGGGAACCCTGCCCTGTGCTCCAAGGGGCTCGTGCAGCCTTACAGGTCACATTCTATTTTACGCTTGGACAGGAAAGGCCACGGGGGTGGCGTATACAGGAATTGATCAACTCTATTTTCCCCCTGCAACCGCTGAAAGCCAGCTTCTCCTCCTCTCCCTCCTGCTGGGATGCAGGAGGAAAATGTTCATTATGCTATTCAAAATAGAAAGAAAAAAAAAACCCTGAAATTCTGAACCATTTCATTGCGGCCCGCAACTGGTTACCAAGTCACTTAAGTGTCCCATTCCTTGCTCTTCTTTTTTTTTTGCTGACCATACACTTAACACAATTATTCAACATTATATAAACCATTATGATAAAATAATTGTAACTTTCAGAAATAGATTGAATGGGATGCAGTCAATAAATGAATATTGTCATAGATAAGGAATGATTGACCCTTGCAGAAAAGCTATAAGAATTAAATCTCTTTCTTGCTTTTGTCAAATGGTTTCTTGAGTGAATGATTGTGTGAAATGATCCATCATTTACTGCTCCGTGTACAGATAGCACACAAGCATTACCTTCTCCTCTGGCAAAGCCTCAGAAAGCCAGTCTGTTATAAGCTCCAGTAGGTGGCCCACTTGCCCCCAGCGACACAAGCAGTCGATAAGTGAAGAGTATTTCTTTTCTTCAGTCTCATTGTTTAAATTCCTCAGCTTGGACAATACAGAACAGCTAAGAGATATTGAGTGAAAAAAGGGACATAAAGCATAAATAAAGTGAAACAAGTACACAATTGGGAAACAAATACAACTGCTCACCTACCAAAATAGTTTGTAATGCAATGGTGATAATGGTATTCATAATTTGAAAATCTGCAAACATGAGTATCCCATTATTAGGTTAAAACTCTGAATAATATATTTAAGTGTCAATGTGCTCATTTCAGTCTTGGAGGATGGGAGGGGAGGGGGGGCCACTGCAAGGGAGCATTCTTACTTGACCAAAAGTTCAGCTGTAAAGCTGTTTTGAACCCCTTTATGAATTTGGTCTGGCAGTCTGTCTTTGGTTTAAACCCTATATTCAGGAAGATGCAAATCTCTATTCATACATGTCATTTGGCAGGGATTTATACTTTATCTGGCATGTATGTAACAAAAAGGTACATGTTCTATGGAATACGTTTGTATGTCTGATAGCCTGCTTCATCACCATTATATGAATTTCGAAATACTGGTGTATGTAATACACATTGTGTTGATCCTTTTTGTCCCTTGGGACTCTCGGGGGTATTTTAAATGGACCCATTTGTTATCCAGGCTCTCCCAGTTTTATTCTTGTGTAAACTTAAAGTATACAATAAAAAATGTTTTGTCATTTGTATAAAGTGACTATATTGGGTCTCTCTTTAAAAACCATTGTTCCTTTATGACAGGTTTGAGAAAGGCACCGTATCATAGTAATCAATTTTACTATCGCCATGGAGAATATACACATACCCAGCATACTGGGGGAGATATACTAATACTGGAGAGTACATAATCTGGTGCAGCTCTGCATAGAAAGCAATCAGTTTCCAGGTTTTATTGTCAAAGCTTAACTGAAAAAGCTGAATTAAGAAGCCGATTGGCTACCATGCAGAGCTGCACCAGATTCTGAGTGCTCCAATTTTAGTAAATCTTCCCCACTGAGTCTATGTGAGAATTCAGTATAGAACATCACAGCCAAACCAAAATGACAAAGAAAATCTGATTACATCTTTCAATAAAAATAGAAGTTTCAAAAGCTTTTGCAGACAAAAACAAAAAAATTATTAAAAGCTACATAGAAAAAAGAAGATTTTGTCATCACGACTTACTGCACTGGATTGGTTAGTAAGATGGAGATTGAGAATAAAAGAGAAGCCTACCTGAATGTTGGGATGGCTGATGGGTGCATGAAGGAAGCCAAGATAATCAATGGTACAGTACAGCGATCATCCTGCAAGTGGGATTACATATACAGCTAAGTGAGTATATTAAACATCCACAAGAGGCAATGTCATGATTTAAGAACAAGTCACAAAAAAAAACATGGAATCTGATCTATGAACATTGGATCATGAGCATAAATGTTGTTTACAGGACCCAGTAAGGTTTTATAATCTGGAGTAATTTGGAGCAATCAGCGAACCCACAAACAGCACACCATATATTTTTTTACTACTGCCTTGCAAATAATGAACTTCGTTTCAATCCCAAAGCAGTGATTTGTACCTGTATTGGGTTGCTCTTTCATCAAATGCTTCAGTGCCCTATCATGTTCTAGTGTGTGTAAATGACTGCAGTAGGGTAATAAATTACACTCATTTTACAGCACTACAAAAACTATTATGGTACAGATCCCCCCTCCTCCACCCCCTTCACTGCACCATATACCTGGAGCTAACTACAAGTTATATGCAGGACATGTTGGACCTATTATGGTCCTGCAGTTCTCTTTAAAATGTGCCTTATTGTTAAAGAAGCCAGCGTGTGATAACATGCAAGCTACAGTACTAAAAATATCAGTTTTGAGCGGAAGCAGCATTTATGGTGTAAAATGTATATGCATCTATGGTACACAATTAGCAACTAATATATAGAAAACATTGCTACAAGCACTGACACCAGCCAAACTCCAATAAAAATAAGAGAAAGTAATACTGGACCAGAAAGTGTGGTGCTTTCATTCAGTTCAAATCAAAAATAATCTAAATGGTTTTTTTTAGCCTTACCTTAAATACTCTGAAATAATCTGGCAGAACACAGGCAAATTTGCTGATCGTGTAGTTTTTAGCCTCCACATTTTGATCCAGAGCTTTTCTGATACTTCGCCACAAAATCACTATAATCTCCAGCAAACTTGCCATAGATGTTGCATCTTCTTTGGACAGCACATTTTCCAGGACCTACAATCAACCAGTACAAGCTCTTATTATTCCAAGAGCAGTCACAGATGCCTGTAAATTTTGAGTTGATACCTTTGAACAATTATCAAAATGAATTGTAAAAGGGAAGAAAAAAAAAAAAAAAAAAACTGCTTGCGTATGACAAGTCACACCAGTGTGAACCAGGGCTTAAACTAGAATTAAATAGAGATTGATGGTTTATTACTCTGCTTCTTTGCTGCCTAAATAATCTGTACTGTTAAGCATTGTCCATACTGGCAGAAGAAAGGTGTTCCTGTCTAACTGATTATATCTTATTGTTTATGGTTCTCAATTGACTGTCAACCTAATGCAAACTTTTAAAGAATAATAATAGTTTAAAAAAGCAGAACTAAAAGGCAAAACGTTTTTCATTTTGGATAGAGTAAAGAAGGGTTATAACACGTCAGATTATATTTTTGACACTTGTGTCCCATTGGGAAGGTTTCCCTTCACTTCTTGACCCATAGCCAAAACAGGAAGTTGGAGGAAATCCCTGAAAATTAAAGGAATCCTTTAGGGACCCCCAGGTTAGCAGAAATAGTGTCCCTAATAGAAGATTTCTATTACGTTTTGGGTAGAACCCAAAATTTGGGATTTTCTTTTACATGCACTCTCAATGATAATGGTAAACAAATGGAGAGTTTTTACTGCGGTCTAGGGCTCTGCTAGACTTTTTCCCCCTCAATTACTTTTCTGGTATCAATGATTTCCTTTAGACCATGAGAATAAAAGGTGATTACTGGAAGCACACAAGTTGTGTTATATTCTCCCAATTCCCTTCACTGCACAGCATACATTAAATTAAACTGTACACATAACTTAAGGCCTGCACAAGGTACGGATGTTTGAGCATCTTCTTTTTGGATGTACTTTCTGGCATTTGACTTGCGCATATCCACACGTATTTGTATGCACAATATGTTCTTAGGGAAAATTTATGCTCATATGCACATTTTTGTACGCATTCCAGCGTATTTGCGAGCAAATGTACGAACGCGGCATAAATTACTGGCAAAAAATCCTGATTTTCCCATTTTTTTTTCTTTGTTGAAGAATACGCAGCGCTTTTTTTTTATGCGCCTGTGTGCAAAGGCACGTTGTAAATAATAGGCTACATTTTACCTCATAAAAATAAAAAATTGCTGTAATGAGCTTTTTCAAGATGCAGTGTACAAGAGGCCTAAATGTGGAGAAAAATCTAAAGGTAAGTGGGGAAAAAAATACTGCATACAGCCATCAGCAAGAAAATACAATCTTAGTTGAGAAAGTAGTCCTTTGAAACAGCTGGTCCACATGCTCACTGTACAAGGCAAATCTCCCAATTTAAATGCATGGCTGTCCTGTAGGAGACTTTGCTCATCCTAATTTCAGCAACCAGGTAAGTGGCAGCTAGTAAAAGCAGCATGGCTTTTAAGAGGCAGAAAAAAAAAGGCAGTATACTTACAGGATGACGATACTGGACACACAGCAACACTAACCTGTTCAGGTTGTGCTTACAACTGCCCTACAAAGATTCTGAATGAGGTAAATATTTGATAAAAGTTTGGAACAGTGTGATAAAATTATCTAGTTTAGGCTGCCATTTGTACAATTAGGCATGGTTTGCTTTTGTTGTAATGTTAATAAAAATGCATAGTTAGCCAAATATCAAGAGGAATAAAGTTTAGAAAAAAATATGTATTTGATGTTTCTGTTCAGAGCAATCAAACTTACACTCTTATTCTTGTCATTCTCCTCATTTTCATTGTCGTCTTCATTTTCCTCATTTTCTCCGCAAATTGTTCTCCGCAGACAGGCATTCAGACAGCGCCGTATAGTGAGCATCAATTTAGCTGTAGGTGTAACACAGTATTTTTATTTTTTTTTGTGGTATATCCACATGCAATTAACAAAAAAAAAAAAAAAAAAAAAAAAAAAAAATCGATCATTCTAATTGATGCAGAAAACTATATCAAAACCACAATTTAAACCTTTTGATTGAAAGGTGGATGAAAAAATTGACATTTAGTTAGGCTGGAACAGTGAACAAGGCAGTTATTCGTGGTTTGAGGAGTTTAAATTTCCATTACAGTCTTTAGAAATTAGAAAGTAGTTAAGGCAGAGTTTATCACGTCCACAATAGATAAGCCCCCTGCTTCTTTGGTTCCTGCTGCAAAGGGGTGCTGCTCATATTTAAACTGTGTTCACAGTCTCAACCTAACCAAATTAAGAAAAATGGTTTCTAATAAATGTCAACTGAACCTAGCTATGTGACCTATCTAATCAAATGTCTGTGTTGTTAAAATAATGTCGGAAATGAAAAAAAAAAAAAAAAATTACACACACACACGAGATTTTTGTACTTCCTGTAATTTAGAGACTGTTGAGCTATAATGTCTCCTGCAGGATTTGGACACTAGCAAGGAAAAAAAAAAAAAAGCCCTCCTACTAAGAGCATGAATTCAAGATTTGGCTTTTTACAAGAGGTGTAAAAATCAAATCGTGTCTTGATCATTTAGGGATGTAGGAATTTAGAGACTGTTGGAACATTCATAAGTAGCCCATCCGAGAGGTGGGCAACAGCAACAAAACACAAACAGCCCCTCAAAGAACAGAAGTGAAGATTGCCTGCAGCTCAGCATTCTGACAGAGCCACCAAAAAAAGGTAGAATGAAAAACTGGTTCCCCTTTGCAGGGACCATCTGGGATCACAGAGACAGTCTTTCTAATGGAAGGAGTAACTGCTAGGTAGACACACACAGAACATGAACTACATCCTGGCATTGAAGGGAGATAGCATTCTGTTGAACAAAAGCTGGATAGAGGAAAGAACAAATTCCTGGTTGAAATGAACAGCAGAAACCACCTTAGGAAAGAAGGTGTCTCTATGCCTCAGCACAACCTTTTCTCTGTAACACCAAAAAGGTTCTTTACAAGAGGAAACCACCAGCTCAGACACACGCCAGGCAGAGGCAATGGCAACAAGAAATGCAAAATTGTTGGCGAGAGTGGAAAAGAGTATATACATTATAGGTTCAAAAGGCATTTTGTGAAGTGTTAATAGAATCATCATAGGGTGCAGGGCTTATGATGATGAGCTTTGCTCGAAACGCGTCAGAACTACAGTGGCTGGATGTTTTACCACCGCTGGTGGCCGTCCTGAATTCTATATGGTCAGTGATTTTTCTTTCCTATGCACACATTTTGTATGCACCTATTTGTGAATAAAACTGTTCCTACGGTATCACGCTATGTGGTGTCCCTTATTGTGCTCTCTTCACTGAGAGCCTTCACCTGCAGAAGCTGCACCTTTAAGGGACCTTCCAACGTGCTATACACCTGAGTGTCATACCTGAGACGTGACCCGTAGGCATAGAGGATCCTGACCCTACTGATGACCCCACACACACCTGATGAGACAGGCATATCTCTAAGGCGTATTATTTACGCACCTCTGGTGAGTGTGCAATCTATTTATTTACTTTTGTGTTACTACTTCGGATCAAGTCCCCCACGTTTATGCTTCATGATCATATTCGATCCCCATGTGGGCTTTGTCATCCTTGGGACTTTTAATACTTTATTGTCACTATCAGTGACAGAAACTTTGCATTTTACTTTGACTTTAGCACTGCACTTTTCTGTTTCTTATGTTACAGTATATCGCTAACGAGATTCGGACCTCTGCTGGAAGGACATTTTGCTGACCGGACCTCCGTAAATATTAATTCAAGACTCCTGCCATAGAGTCACAGGAGAGCACACAGGGAAAGAGAAACTCTGTACAAAAGTCTTAAATCAGAGTGCAAAGTTAACAGCCACTAGAACAAGATGACAAGCGCCAAGATCTGTCCCCCTAAAAACGGTACTCAAATGCTGATAAGGCCTGATTGCAGAAAAGCCAGGATTTATCCCACTGAGAATTTCCTCGGATGAAAGCTTCTCTCTATGAAGTATACATTAACCACTTTAGAACCACGCTATACCCAAATGATGGCTACAGCGTGGTTGTCTAGTTCTGGGAGGGAGTCATGTCCTAAGAACACAGCTAATCACATGACTAGGTAAAAGGCCAATCACAGCAGCCTTCTACCACGTGATCAGCTGTGTCCAATGACACAGCAGATCACAAAGTAAATACAGTTGCCGGTTATCCGCAGCACTTTCCTCACGCTGTCAAAGACGACAATAACCTGCAAATGTCAGAAGACACCCACACGGATTATCAGTGCCCTGATCATCAGTGCAGCCCCATCAGTGTCCAGCAGTGCCACCCACCAGTGCTGCCTATCAATGCAGCCTCATCAACGCACATCAGTGAAGGGGAAAAATTACCTGTTTGCAACATTTTATATTAGAAACAAAGAAAAATTTTTTTTTCAAATTTTTTGCTCTATTTTTGTTTATAGTGCAAAAAATAAAAACCCCAGTGGCGATTAAATACCACCAAAAGAAAGCTCTATTTGTATGAAGAAAATGATAAAAATTTCATATGAGTACAATGTTTCATGACCGCGCAATTGTCATTCAAAGTGCGACAGCACTGAAAGCTGAAAATTGGCCTGGGCACAAAGGGGGTGAAAGTGCAACCTTGCACACTAAACAACAGAAGCTTCATCCTGAATAGCCCACAAACAGGCGCTCCTGGTAGAATGGGTCTTGATTGGGAAAGAAGGAACCTTGCTCTTGATACCTTAGGCCTGAAATAAGCTGACAAATATATCAAGAAGGGGAATATAGAAGAAGAAAAAACAAAAATACCCATAATGCAGGCACCACATCTAACAATTGGTAAGCTGCAATATATTACATTTTTGGCTTAAGAGGTTAGACCACTTTAATCAAAAAGGGTTAAATGTTGATTTTGATGTGTTTGTTATTTAGCATAGGGTGCTTGATTTGCATTAATTATGAGATATTTGCACCAGTGATAATATTACCCATATACTATAGAGATATGTATATACCATGCATCTTTAAGATGTTTGACACATTTTAACACCCACAGGTGGGCATCAAGATAATCTGACTATGCCTACCCTTTCAGCTTCGATAAATGGAACAAGATCCAAAAATGGAGGACAAGCGGATGATAGGTGTGTTCCTCTAATCAGAGATTGTGTTCCATTCATAGAGACTGTAGCAGAGCTATGAGATGAAGGGAAATCAATGTAAAGGACACATTCCACTGGCTGTAAGTTATGTCTTCTTGTGCAAATTTTTCTATTTATGCGATTTTGGCTGCCTTTAGGTTTAAGTAATTTCCTTTTTACAGAGTTAAATGAAATGTTTTGCTACTATGTGTTGGATCACTTGTTCGTCTAGCTTGAAGAAGGGTTTACAGTGATGAGGTAAAAGTAAGCCAATATTTGGCTGGGACTGCAAACTTGTTAACAAGTTCTGCACTTGTGCTATCCAGTTGCATGCATGGGACCAAAAAAAATAAAAAAAATTATATATATCTATCCACACACACATTACATTTGCATTTGACAGTGCGTCACACTTACCAATATTAGTGGGAGCAGTGTGTTCATAGGTATACTGATAAAACCTCCGGGCTGCCCCAGGGTTCATTTGTATAAGCGTTACAGACCGCTCGCACCAGACTTCCTCTGGCTGATTGACAGGAAAGAAAGAGTTAAAAACATCAGATTGACAATGCGCCGACATACAGGACGGGAATCGACCTCAAGTTGGGCTAGCAGGTTCTCCATAGGGCAAATCTTCCAGAACTGGGAAATAAAAAGAACAAAAAAAAATATTTAAATAATAAAAAAAACTTTTGGATCTGAGCAATTAAATACAAAGCTAAGCTCTCAAAAGAGATGCAGAACACTGCTTGAACTTACGTGGTCGATCCTGCCATATTACTGTATCTACTTTTTGTTCTGGTTCAACAAAAATACCCCCAAAAGAATCATCTATGTACCGCTTTCCAAAATGCTGGGGGAATAGATAGAAATATCAGGTCTTGTGCCTAAACCATTTTACAGAGACTCCCAAATTGACAGAGGGTACGTCATTCATATACATGTAATATCTGTCTCACCACAGGCGGAAATAAAGCATTCCCCGATTTCAATATTCTCATGACTAGCAAAAGTTGTTGATTGATTCTATGCTAAAAACTTCTAACAATATTTTTATCAATGGAGGCCAGTTTTGTGGGGGTAAGGAAGGGGAAAGGTGATACAGCGAGGTAGAATTTATTTGTACTCACTGGGTTGACGCCGAATGCACGCAAATTAGCAGCCTCACAGAACTGGGCTTTTTTCCATGGGGCTGCTAATTTGCGCACCTGTCTTTCTGCTGGGAGTGTGCCACATGGGTCGGTGTGTCACCCGAGTCCCGTTCGATCGGGACCCAGAACTCCCAATTCCAGGTCACCCGATTGCTGTGATGGCATCTGATTAGCTATCACAGTGATCAGTTACTGTGAAGCCCGCCCCTCTTGTTTTCTATTTCTGAATGGAGGAGAGAGATACATTGCATCTCTCTCTGTACTTTCAGAGAGGAAAAAAAAAACAAGTGTGTGTAATAAATAAAAATAATAATAAAAAATACACAAAAATAGCTAGATCAAAGTTTAACCTAGGTCTTTCCAGGGGTTAGTGTTTGGGTCAAGGACAGTTTTGTTTTGTTTTTTTGATCAGGGTTTTTTTTTTTTTTTTTTTTTTTTTTAATTAGTATCAGTCAGTGGTAGGATATTTAAAAAAAAATTTAAAAAAAAATTGCGCACTATTGTTTCTGGGTTGTGCTATGAGTACATACAACTAGCATACACATATGTGGTATCGCTGCAACCGTCAGGAGCTGGAGAAAATAATTTTGGGTTTTTCTTTGGTGGTAGGTTATGGTAGCAGCAAAAAATATACAGCTAAAAATATACAGCTAAAAAATTTTTTTATTTTTTTTTTGTTTTCCTTTGGTAATAAAAAACAAAAAAAAAAAAAAAAAAAAAAAAAAACCAGACGTCCATTACCATTTACCACCAAATGAAAGCACAATTTGTCCTGATAAAAAAAAAAAAAACAAGGTATGATCCATCTGGATGCACAAAGTAGTTGTAATGTGATGATATGTACAGTTAACACATGTCAAAGTTGCAAAATTGTGCTTAGGCGATAAGATTTGTTCTACCCTTAGGCACGAAGGGGTTAATGTCCCTTTATGTCTTGCATTTGTGAATCCTGTTTCAATTATAATAGACTCTGACGCTAGATAAGCATAGGATGACTTTGTGTCTGTGTTTTTAAGTTTTACAATAGTATTATACCTTAGCAGCTCGGGCAGCCTTTATCTTCAACAGCATATCGACAAAAGCCACTCTGACCTTCTCCGAATTATCATGGAGACTGTACTTCAAAGATGGCAGCATTTGCTCTAACAATGGGTGACTAAACTTGTTTTCCAGAAGTATTGTCAGACACTAAAACAGAATTCAACAAAATAACTTTTAAGGTTAAATGTTAAAGTGGACCTGTACTCAATTACCTACATTTACATTGCTCTCCAAAATTAGAACCACTGAAGAACCCTGTAATGGAGGTTCCTTTTAATTCTTCAGTTTCCCTTACATTAAATGCTTTCAGTATTATTTACATTGTGTTTTTTTTATAACATTTTATTTCTTTCACATGATCAAGACTGAAAAAAAAAAAAAAAACAACGTAATTTTTTTTTGTCAGGTAAATACGAAATATTGCACGTGAATATGTATTCTTATATCTAGGCAAAAGGTGGAGCAGATAAAACAAAAACTGGAATTGTATTTTCACATATTGGATAACTGCCTTCTTACAGCTTTATACATAATTTGACAAAATCTGAAGGAAGAAATGTTTCCTGTGCTCTCTTCAGAAAACCCATAGAGCTGCATTTTCTGCACCAAACGCATGAATGTATGTAAAAGCAATTAAGTAGAAATACAAAAAACATACTGTAACAAATGCACTGCAATTGCTGAAAATGCTTGTAAATGCACATGCAAAAACACTCAGTGAATGCAGAGATTGTAATATAAATGAGCCCTTAAAAAAATATTAAACATCAAATAACTGACAAAAAAACTATTCTACTTCTACTTTTTTCACATTGCAGTTATGACTGTTTTAAACTGAATACAAATTTTGGTCATTGTAAAGCAAATTTTCCCTAAACAGTCAAGGTGTTCTAGCACCCCTTTTAGAAGGTCCCATTTTGGTTGGACATCACCTCACTACCAAGGGAGATCTCAATGTTTTGACAGGTTTGCCTCATCTACTACTTCTTTGGCATTCAATGAAAAGTGTCATCAGGTGGCAAGGTCTATGAACAGAAAGAGCTGTTCCCAGGAATATTTTGGAATGGCTGGACAAAAAAAAAAATTTTGTTAATTGTATAAGATACAGGAGGAGTGTTCTGGAACCTTGGGATGTCCAAAAATCAGCAAAAAGAGGGGCTTTTAGAGCTTACAGGGTCACTTAAAGAACCTTCTAAGCGGGTCCACAAATGTGTAAACCGAAGCACCAGACAGGAGACTTACCATGTCACAGCAAGTCTTGTCCTGCTGGTCAGGTGTATGGGATGATTCAAAGATTATGTCTGTTTGTCACACGCTGCCAGAATGTTTAGTTGCAACAGTTTGGGGTGAAACAGGGCATATGGGACTGCATTGTGGGAGGCCACCATGAAGACCAAAAGCCTAATATAAAAGCAGATGGTTGGGTAGCCTTTAGATAAAAGGGTTCGAACTTTGGTGCAAAGAGACTTGAGTTTTTCTGAGGAAGAAAGATTCTGGACATGACCATATCCAAAACTACTATTATTATTCTCTGCTACTCCAAACGAGGAGTTGGATCCCGAGCTGATTTCTGGAGATTTAGGATCCACTGAAATCTCTGTAGGGTCCATGTTTTCAGTCAAACGTTGGGTGAAAGGCTGAGCTGATTGTTTTCTCAGGAGTTTGTCTAAACATCCCGTGAAGGGAATGCCTGAGAGCGAAACAGCAAGAACAGGGGACAACACCTTGGTGAAAACCCAAGGTGTAGGAGACAGGCCAAAAGAGGAGGGCAGAAAACTGGTAACAGTGTGTGCCCACAGCAAAGATCAGGTAGCATTGATATGTTAGGAATATAGGAATGTGCAAGCAAGCACCACTGAAGACCAACAAGGTCAGGAGAGCTCTCCTGATGACATCCTTCCTTGATGAAATGCATAAGGCAGAGCTTGGTGGGCTGACCTCACCAGCGGGCAGCATTTTGAGTGTTCCAGACTAAGTGCAAATGTTTACCTCCTTTCTGTGGCTGTTTTTTTGGATCCTCAGGATACCCCTTTACTTGCTTTTTGACCTCCATTCATGAGGTCTTACATCTCTGGTAAGAGCCTTGTGGTCTTTCAGGTACACTTTATAATGGATTTGTTGTGTTATGTGTGTCACATATCCACTTTTTCAATCAACATTTTACGCTGAATTTGTGTCAGATTTTTTTGCACTTTGCAATATCACACATCTAAATTTTGATGTTATTAGTTGATTTCAGACACTGCAATATTTATTTTTTTTCTGTGAGCACTTATTTAAAATGGGAAAAGCACAACACTATTTTTTAGATAATTTACATATGTTGTTCATTCACACATTTTGGTGAGTGCAACATTAAGTTGCCTTCTCATTATTAGTTGCATATCATTAGACCCAGCACAAAGCTGTTTGTTTATTTTTACCATAAATAGACTACCAAGGACAAAATCCTATTTTCTTCATCATCTGTTGAGGTATTACTGGATTGTTGGGATGTCCAAAAGCAGCTCAACAGAGGGGTGGACAATATAACAAAGCAAGCTATCAGGCCCAAAAAAAAAAAAAAAAAAAAACTTGGGACTGCTTGTAGCTCAAAGAGCCACCAAATGGTCCTAAAATCTGAGCAAACATCAGATGAAGCCTAAATATCCACCTGGCAAAACAAACAGAAAACCAGATGATAGCCCTGCAACAGAAAAAAAAAAATTGCATGATGCTTTAAGAAGAACAAGCACCACCAAGAAGCACTCAGTTCTAAAAGAGTGTGGATAAGGAGGAACCTGATCTGTAAGACCATAAGTTTGGATGATGGTCTGCCTGAGTCACCTAAAGGTGGGGGATAGAAAAGCCAGGGTACCCATACAAGGTCCCCCATCTGGAATACAAAGGGAAGCCATATTTGGAAGAAGCAGTGGCTGAGACTCTCACATTCTGAACCGCATCCAGACAATAGAGGGAAATTTCCTTAGGGTAAATTACAGCTGAACAGAGGTAAGGGAGGGCAATGCCCAGATTGAGGTGAAAGTCAGAAACTATTCTAGGCAAACTGGAAGCCCTGGGCCTCAACACCAACCTGCCCATAGGAAAAACAAGAAAGGGTTCCATACAAGATAATATCCCTAGTTCAGATACTCACCTTGAACAGGCAATGGCTACAAGAAACACCACCTACTGGTTGAGAGTAGAAGAGGCATGTCTTTGATGGGTTCACATGAAGTACTTGAAGTGCAAACAGAAATGCTATGTTCTCCATTCTGCTGCATATCACAACTGCAGTACATTTGAAACACCAGTACAGCCAGAGGAAATGCACATACTCAGGTGATGTCCTAGACCTGGTCCCAACATGCAACATAGGGTTCTCCAGGCAATACCAGACTGGCCTAAAATGTAAAGGCTGAGTATGTGGAAGCAGATGGTGTCGCACCATAAAAAAAATACAGCACGAGAACACCAGTATGGGAAAAAAACTGGGAAAACCAGCTAACGAACCCCCTTTTCATGACAAAGCAGGAATGGGGTAGTGCAGCTCACTGAACAGGGAAGCTAACAAGACAGGGAAAGGAGAGGCATGGGAGAAAAGCTGCAGCTCTGACCTGGAGTTAATATTCTAAAGAATCTCCAGAATACTGGCCTGGTTGCTAGCACAGTCCTGTGAAACTGAACACAGATCGGGTTACACATACTCACGATGTGCCACAGCCCTGGACCTGGCATACAAGGAATCCCCAGACAATATTAGACTGATTTTAAATGTGAAGTCCTGTGATAGCTAGAGCACAGGTGCTTTTCATCACTAGGAGGACAGGCTATTGAAGAGAGATCTTCAGTATGGAAAAAACTGGGAAATCTGTGCTCAGTGCACGAAAGAAAAGTCCTGGACTTCATATATCGGGTATAAAAATCTAACAATGTATGTAGGCTGACTGAAGAGACCACTTTTTTTTTTTTTTTTTAGCTAGCTGGAGAAAATCATCCAGGATTTCAGTATATTGGATATGCATCTAAGTGCTAACCCTGTTGGCTGACTGTAGAGATGTCCAGGGATTTTATACATCTGGAATGAATCTTCCAGCAGCTGTTGAAAGAAACTATCCAGAAACTTCTTCCAAAATGATCAGCGAACAAGAGAGATGAAAAAAACATGCCCACTATCCTGAGGACACTAGCAAAACTAAGACGTAAAGGTTATCCTAACTAAGGCAAGGGCTATCATGTGCTGGCTGAGAAATTTTTTGTTGCCAGTGTTATTTCTTTTGTGTTCCACCAGGCAGGTGCATCAGGGTCCTGGACCTGTAAGGCAGCCTGTAGCTAACTCAGCATGTGTCACCAGTGCCCAGAAGGCACATTACAGGCCGACTTCACACCTTCTTCCTTGCAGGTTTTGGGTACAGTCCCCCAAGGCAAAGCTGAGGAGTTAGTTGCTCTGCAATTGCAGAAGAATCCTACCAGCAGGAAATGAGAAAAAGGAAATGGTTTGTTTTTCTCAGAGCAGAAAGACTAAATAGGTTCTTCTGTGAACACTAGCAAAAATCTGAGGCTTGCCAGTGTCCAATCTTCTGCAAGCAGAAACATGACTCAAGGTTCCAGAATACTTCTGTGTTCCAAAATGTATAATGAAAAGGCTTGGGCAAAAGTGCAGCTTGCAGAATACCTATTAAAAGTTATAAAAAACTCATAAAAAGGACCTGTCTGACCCTGAAGTATAAGACTGTTTAAATCTAGGTCCATTTTAACATATCCAAAGCACTAAATAAACCATACCTTAAAAACAGAACAGCGAACATCAGCAGAACTGATATCACCAGCAAGATCACCAAGGATCTTCTTCATAAGGTCTGCCAGCATAGCTGGTGGGATCATCTCCCAATACTTAGCAGCGATCTTACAGACTCCGAGAACTCCAGTAGATCGAACAAGAGGCTGAGGATCTTCCAAGAGATTCTAGATGATTTGGTGAAAAGAAAATTAACGGTTGTGGGAAATAAGCAACAAAAAACAAAACACAAAGATGTTTTCCCAACTTACAAAAAGTTCCTCAAACTGTTTTTGGATTTCATTGTCCACATCTGCTTGGTTCATATTTGGACTCCGGAGAGGAAAGACTTCAATAAACAGCAAAGCAGCATTGGATCGGACCTCTGAATTTGGAACCTATTATGTGTGGAAGCGAATGAACATAATATTTCACAGAAACTACACAGGGACACAATAAACATTCAATTAATATGCTACAAGGTCAGAATTAAAGTTGTCACCTTCAAACCTCGCCAAATAATAGGTTGGTACAGTCTGTACAGCATCTCATCCACACCTTGACGCAGCTTCTGCTGGTGAAAATAGCTTAGAACCTAGGACAACACAAAATAATGTAACAGTCACAAAAAATGACTTAATGTGAATAAATACACTGCTCAAAAAAATTAAAAGGAACACTTTGAAAACACATCAGATCTCAATGGGGAAATATATCATGCTGGATATCTATACGGATATGGACTGGGTAATGTGTTAGGAGCGTAAGGATGCCCCGTCGTCTGATGGAAATTAAAATTATCAACCTACAGAGGACCGAATTCAAAGACACCCCGAAAATCAAAGTGAAAAAATGATGCAGCAGGCTAGTCCATTTTGCTGAAATTTCATTGCAGCAACTCAAAAAAAATTATACTCAGTAGTTTGAATAAAAATTAAGTAGTGTTGCGAGAGGTAGCTACGAGAAGTACAATACAATATTATATCAATAAAAATAAAGGGCACAAGGGTGGCTAGACCGGTGGGACTGTACGAGTCACTCCCTGCACGAAGGTGCAAACCAAAAAGTAAGAAGCAATTGTTGTCTGGAAAAAAAAATGGATAGAGACAACATCTGACCCTTAATGGTACCTAAGGCTAACTTAATTTTCACTCCCGATTTACAGAAAAGCCAAAATTCCCCCCAATCATATCTCCAAGATGCCATTATCTGGCTTCACACCAGGAAACACAAGACCTTCAGGTCCTGTAGTAGATGCTTCTTGAAACCAGCTTCGTGGTGCTCAACAGTGTGGAGACAATATGTCAAGACCTGGTCCTCAATATTAGTATAGTACACTGCTCAAAAACATTAAAGGAACACTTTGAAAAAACATCAGATCTCAATGGGGAAAAATATGCTGGATATCTATACTGATATGAACTGGGTAATGTGTTAGGAACATAAGCATGCCCATCGTCGTTTGATAAAAATGATAAATTATCAACCTACAGAGGACTGAATTCAAAGGACACCCCAAAAATCAAAGTGAAAAATAATGCAGCAGGCTAGTTCATTTTGCTGAAATTTCATTGCAGCAACTCAAAATGGTACTAGTTTGTATGGCCACCATGTGCTTATATGCATGCCTGACAACGCCGGGGCATGCTCCTAATGAGACAACAGATGGTGTCCTGCGGTATTTTCCCTTCCATATCTGTACCAGGGCATCACTGAACTCCTGGACAGTCTGAGGTGCAACCTGGCAGTGTCGGATGGACCAAAACATGATATCCCTGTGGTGCTCTATTGGATTTAGGTCAGGCGAGCGTGGGGACCATTCAATGGTATCAATACCTTCATCTTCCAGGAACTACCTGCATACTCTCGCCACATGAGATCGGGCATGGTCGTTTACCAGCAGGAACCCAGGATCCACTGCACCAGTGTAGGGTCTGACTTGGGTCCAAGGATTTCATGCCAATACCTTATGGCAGTCAGGGTGCCATTGTCTAGCCTGTAGAGGTCTGTGCGTCCCCCCATGGATATGCCTCCCCAGACCATCACTGCCCCACCAACAAAACAGTCATCCTGAACGATGTTACAGGCAGCATAATATTCTCCACGGCTTCTCCAGACCCTTTCACGTCTGTCACATGTGGCGGGCATGCCAATTCTGGTGTTCAATGGCAAATGCCAAACAAGCTCTATGGTGCCGTGCATAATTCTCAAATGGATGTTGAACACAACCAGGACTTTTCCAAGAGCTGGTCTCCCAGCCAAACTGAGCATTTGGGGGAGAAGGGCTTTAGTAAGAGAGGTGACCAAGAACTCGATGGTCACACTAACTGAACTCCAGAGATCCCGTGTAGTGATGGGACGAAGTTCTAAAAGGACAACCATCATTGCAGCCCTCCACGGATTTGTGTTTTATGGCAGACAGAAGCCTCTCTACTGTGAAAAACACATGAAAGCCCGCTTGGAGTTTGCAAACATTTTGCAGTAAGCATGAAGATGGACAGAAGACAGCACCCTGTGACAGCAAATCTGGCCAATCTGGATAAGCCAAGACTATGCACAACAGTGAGGATTCGAACACGGAGCTCTGCCCATAACAAGGTCAAGTTTGTTTCCTTCTGAGCAGCACAAAATTTTGCCTGTGCTTTATGCAAGCCACAGCTGTTGCATTGTCTAATTGCACCCTGGCGTGGAGGCCCTGAAGGCAGAGAGACCACTGTAGGAGAGCCAGAAAACTTGCTCAAAGTTCCAGGATGTTAAATATCAATTTATGCTCCTTTGACAACCATGTTCCCTGAAATGAGAGGCTGGCATCAGTCGTTGAGACTTTCCGTTTCACTGAAAGGATTTTCCTGCATCCAGTATCTGCATGGATATTCACCATTCCATAGCCGAGTCAGATGCATTGGCAGATCCAAGGACTCCTGATGTTTGTCCCATGCAAACAGGATATTGAGCTGCAGAACTAGGTAGTGCAACTAGGCATAGAGGAACTGCATTGAAAGTGGCTACCATCTTCCCAGCACTTTCATGCATGCCCAAATCAAGGGAGCTTCCATCAACCTCAGGGACCTTACCTGGGCTTCATGACACAGGCACCTTAGGTTCTCCACAACCTCAGATACCCAGTGGCAGTCAGGGAGCCATTGTCTAGCATGTCCAGAATGGCTATAAAAAGCAGAGGTGACGATTGTGCATAGTTTCCACGCCCCAAAGGACATCATATGTGACGAAACGTGTCGGGTGGAGCTTGTGCATTGGACATCTACATGCTGCTTTCTAACACCAGGAAGTGTACCTGTTCCCGGGATATGAGAATACTCTGTACACAGTGCTGATCTGCTTATCTAAATGTGAGCGCAATACTTTATGTCAATAAATGTGTTTTATAGTTTTATGCGATGGTTGCCCCTTTGTCCTTCTCTGCATGGTCATGCTGAAAGGTATAATTGTGAGATTAAGAATGGAGAAGAACTGAAGGCGATATTTCCATCCAGTACCATGATCTAATTAACTCCAATTCCGAGGGATTCAGAGGATATATTCACTAATGCGTTTGTGACTCTTGTATAAGGGTCCATATGTTCTGATAAGAGTCCTACCATTTTCTGGTGGTGGAGCACTAATCATATTGAAGAAATGTGGTGATAGATCAGTAGACTGCATGGTTCAATATACTGGGACTATTTTCACATTTGAACTTATTTAATCACTTATATGGTAGCATTAGTTGCGACATCTGAGCGTGCCAATTTATTTATAATATTGTTCATCAACTCCATTTCCGCTTAAATCCAAAATGAAACCACTTGTTACCAACTTTTGGCTTGTTTACAGTTTGTTTGCTTTTGCTTGATCCAACCTATGTCTACTTCTGGACCCCGGCTTACTCATCTCCTGGTGGTGCGATCCTGATGACAACAACCTGGTACTTACACGCAGCAAAACTCACCTCCACCCTCAGGATCTCTGGTGAACACCGGTTAGTGCTTAGACCCTGCAACTCAGGCAAGTCTGCATCATCTAGAGTGACCTGCTTGTGTGATTATCTTAGATAGCCAGTGGGAGCCTTGCTACTGGTTTCAGCTTATAGATTCTGGTTACCATGCTGCAGACCCAGTCATTTGAGACTTCACGATTCCTTTGTGACATCCCCAAGCAAGAGGGTTCCCCCTTCACTGCGAGGAGGATTTGCCTCCAGAACCAAAGGATTTGGGGTCCAGTTCTTGTTAGGGAGTAGAGAAGTTGGCTTCTGCTTAGAATTCAAAGCTGGTTGCTTCTTGGAATCGGAAGGCTTTACCTGGTTCCTCAGTTCTCACTTTCGCCTTCTTCATTAGGGATAAAAGCATGCTTTACCCACAGTCACTTTTTGGATAAAGGAATCCATGGTTGGTCCAAGAAAGTGTTCATATTTAAAAGGGCTGACTCTCCATTTGTTTTGTCCATTCATCTGAAAGTGGCAGCATAGTCCCCCCCAAATAGCCATCAATATGAACTCCTCTTTGACAGGTATTTCTTTGTACATCAAAAGGACAACCAGCCAGAAATCCAGTGTGCTTTTAATTTGCTGTTGGGAGCTGGCAACAGAGTGCCTCAGCTGCACTGATATTCTAGAAACTGTTGTCAGCCCTGTCTGCTGGACTACAGAACTCTGCTTATCCCGTGACCTTTCTGCCCTCTTTAAATGAATACATTAGCCAATGGTATTTCATTGTTCCTGCTAGAAGAGTTTTCTCAGTGGTATTCCAACTCTGACTCCCAGCGACTGCCTGGACCACACATTAAGGAATATGATGGGGAGGGCTGATTTTATACAGGACCTCCCTTAACTAATCACTGTCACTTTTGATTGTTTATATATCCAAAACATTTAATTAACTGGAAAAATGGAAAGTACCATTTCTAATATTTCTTAAGACAGGGGTTAATTTTCTATAAACATCAAGGCCGAGTGATGAATTCAATTACAATCGTTTATAAGTTTTAATACTTCAAGTGCCAGTAAGGAAATTGACTTCTTTCAAATGAAACAGCCACAATACTGAGGATGATAGCTTTTCAATATTTCCAAATGATAAAGTGAAACTCCAGACCTTACGTTTTTTTCTACTTACTGGATGAAATTGGGAAAAGGTTTTGTGGTTACGTTACGAATGAAAAGACTAACCTTTACCATGTCTGTAAGGGAGAGAAAATCCAAAATCCTTGGGAGGTAAGGAAAATCTTGGATAGCTGTTTCAGTCATGTTTTTAACTGTTTTGCTGCCAGGCCCTGCGCTCCACTTTTTAAATGTAGGTGGCTAGACAATTTTTGCAATTTTTCCATAGTTTTTTAAAATTTTTTCTAACAGCTTTAGGAATTTGTTAAAGTACCCCCCCCCAAATCATACATTTTCTGAAAGCACAGGGCCAGTAGAACAAAAAGAAATTGCTACTGATTTTTTTAGGCCTGTTATATTTGCACAAATGTTTATCAAATCAATATTTTGAAATAAAATCATTATTAGAGGACACAAACACAGCAAAAAGTGCACAATTCTGCCTTAATCCATACTAAATTTAAAACTGTATTGAGTCAATAACAAATATTTGTAAATCTAAAATTGAGCCCTTTTTGAGAAAGGCTGAAAATCGAAGTTCTGCAAAACTGTAAATAAGCAATATCTATCATAATCACTAATTTCAGTAAATATAGACTAAAATCATTTTACACTAAAACAGAGTGATAAATGAATACAGGAGTGATCTATACTGATCGCTCACTGTGTTCATTCAGGAAGGGGTTGGTAAACATGACATGTTTACCACCCTGGCTCTATGTCCTGATACCGATCTCCCAACCCAGCAGCAGCTTCTGCAGCAGGCAGAAGAGGGAGAAGGTGAAGCCAAGCAGCACTGCTGTGGGGTGAGGGGGCATTCCATGTTGGAGAGTCATGGCCGGATAATATATTTGGAGAGTTCGATGTCCCCTGAAGCTCCCCCCCTACAGTAACTGAAGCCAACCAGCAGCGCTGCAGGGCAGGGGCGCCAGAGGGTTGTGAGGGTGGGGCCAGTATGGGGGGGGGGGGGGGGGCGGTCAAAGCAGCCGGGAAGAACTATTCTCAGATTTAAATTCCCCTGTGGACCCCCTGCAGCACCCAAATCTAGAGGGAGGGGAGAGAAGAAGCTGGCAGCTGCATTGGAAACACAGGGCAGAGCAGCAGTGGCAGTGTTAGGGGGGGGGGGTGTCGTCACATTTAAGACCCACAATTTAAGACCCATCTCACTGCTGCCATTTACCTCTAAACTCCTAGAACGCTTAGTTTATAATCGCCTGAGCTCCTACCTCACTGACAACAACCTTCTTGACCCTTTACAGTCTGGCTTTCGCTCACTACACTCCACTGAAACTGCCCTACTAAAACTCACTAATGATCTACTAACTGCTAAAGCAATGGCCACTACTCCATACTCTTACTACTTGACCTCTCTGCGGCTTTTGATACGGTTGACCATCCCCTCCTCCTCAAAAAACTCCACTCTCTTGGCCTCAGAGACTATGATCTCTCCTGGTTCTCCTCCTACCCATCGCAGCGCTCCTTCAGCGTTACCTATAACGCTGCCTCCTCCTCTTCACTCCCTCTTTCTGTACGGGTCCCTCAAGGTTCTGTCCTTGGACCCCTTCTCTTCTCCATCTACACCTCTTCCCTTGGTCACTTGATAAACTCCCATGGCTTTAGGTACCATCTCTATGCTGATGACACACACATCTATCTTTCTACCCCTCACCTCACCAGTCTCCTCTCGCATTACTAACCTACTGACATATCGGCATAGATGTCACTCCACTTCCTAAAAACTCAATCTTTCCAAAACTGAGCTCTTAGCATTCCCTCCAGCCCATGCCCCTCCCCTGACTTCTCTCCATCAAGATCAATAACACAATCATCAGTCCCTCCCCTCATGCCAGGGTACTAGGCATCCAATCACTCTCCAAATCTTGTAGACTTCACCTCTGCGACATTTCAAGATACGCCCGTTCCTAACCTCAGAAACTACTAAGCAACTTATTCACTCCCTGGTTATATCTCGCCTTGACTATTGTAACTCCCTCCTCATTGGCCTACCTAATCGCAGGCTATCCCCTCTTCAGTCTATCATGAATGCTGCTGCCAGACTCATCCACCTTACTAACCGTTCTGTATCTGCCACCCCTCTCTGCCAATCCCTCCACTGGCTTCCCATTGCCCAACGGATAAAATTCAAAACATTAACAAGAAGATATAAAGCCATTTATAACTCAGCCCCAAATTACATCACCAATCTTGTCTCTAAATATCACCCAAACCATACTCTCCGCTCCTCGCAAGACCTCCTACTCTCTAGCTCCCTTGTCCCCTCCTCCCGTGCTCATCTCCAGAACTTCTCCAGAGCTTCATCCATGCTCTGGAACTCTCTACCCCAATTTATCAGACTATTGCCTACTCTGCTCACTGTTAGGCGATCTCTGAAAACCGCTCTCTTCAGGAAGCCTATCCTGCCCTCAGCTAATAATGGAATCTTCTACTCTTCCAACCAGTCCATCCCCCACAGTTACTACCTTTTGTACCAATAGCCCCTCCCTCCTAGATTGTAAGCTCCAAGGAGCAGGACCCTCCTGTCCCTCTTGTACTGAACTGTATTGTTGCTGTATTCTCTCCTGTTACATTGTAAAGCGCTGAGCAAAACTGTTGGCGCTATATAAATCCTGTATAATAATAATTTTAGCTAAATTTGTCGATTGATTTGATCAGTAGACTCTGCTGCACAGTTTGGCTATAAGTTCATGGTCACTGAAGCGATCATGAGCTTTTAACAAATGGAGGAATGCCATGTCAGTATGGCCTACTGACCTGGCCAGCTGGAAGCAGTTATGTAGTTCTGCAGCGAAAGGGTTAAAAGGTGCAAATTTCTCTTAGTTTGGGGAGATTTCCTTTCACGTCACAGAGCAGAAAGGGAAGGAAACTGTCCGCAGTGGAGAAAAAGACAGCAGTAAGAGTCAAACAAAGTTTCAAATCCTTCCTCAAATTGTTGACCAAAAAAGATCATCAAGCTCAAACTTTCAGTACTTAGTCAAAACAATTCTGTAGCTTTAAACGTTATCAGGTTTTGACTACACACCTCTCTCACTTTGGTGTGCACTGGAGATTTTCTTGGCAAGTGAACTCCATGATGCATGAAGTCCTGGATACAAGTGTGTTCAATTGTCTGTTGTACAAAACAAAGGAGATTACATAAAATGCTATTCAGTCATCTTTAAGCATAAATACACAAACTTATTATTAAACGCTATGTTAAACTGTTCATTATCCAAGAACAAAACTTTTATATATTGCAGCTTACCAGTTCTTCGATGTGGTTTCTTTTTTCAAGCTATAAACATTTTCTGCAAGTACAGAAAAATACCTGCTGCTATTGGCAAAAATGCAGTACCCTTCCTGTGTATTGAAATGAGATTTCAGCGTTATCATACTTCCTAGCTATCTTCTTTGATCTACACCTCCCCCCATCCCTTCAGGTTATGTAGAAAAGGAGAGGGGTGCATTTGTAGTTTAAAATAGGGAGAGCAGCCTAAAATAACAATGCTGTTCCTCCATTGAAACGGCACATTAAGTGGGCGTAGCCACCCTAGGGCAAAATCCTGAAAAAGACGACTAATGCACACACACTCTCCCCTGCAAGGGTAGGCATCACATACTAGCACATTACGAAAGACTTCCCTTTAAACAAAGCACTCCAGCGGTGCAAAGTCACTGATGAGGAGGCTTCCATCTTCACCCGGTAGTCCTTCCCGGCCAAGCCGTGATGACGTCATTCCAGCACATGCGCGGGAGTCTCAGCTGCGGCACACAACTCTAAAGGAATGTCACAGGTATGCAGTCTCTCCAGAGTACATGCGCCAGCGACATCTCCGCTGCAGCTCACTAGAATATCTCCTAAACGGTGCACGTTTAGGCGAGTCATTTTGAAGAGTTTAACAACACTTTAAAATATTATTAAACCCTAGAACAAAAAATGCATACCAATTCTTAGATGTGGTGGCTGTATTAGCTTTTATTTTTTTATTTTTTTAATTAAAGCAGAAGTAAAAACGCCACTAACTTGCAACTACAGGTAAATCTATAAAAAGGGTTACCTCTAGGTACAGTAAAGGTCTCCTAAACCAGCAGTGTTTAGGAGATATTCACATTTGAAGCAGCCGTTGTTGGCACATGTGCACTGCCGAGTGTGCCATCAATTCAGAGTGCTGTGCTGCAGCTGTGACTGCCGTGCACATGTGTGGGAGTGACGTCATTGCGGCCCAGCTATTTAAAACGGTCTGGAAGAGCAGGTGAAATTGGAAGCGCCAACAGCATGCCACCAGAGGGCTTCAAGGTAAATATGTCATAATGTGCTAGCATGTATTATAAAGTGTAGTCTTCCAAGATGGCAACCGGAGCAGCAGCATAACTCTCAGCTCCGGTTGCCTCCGCGCTCCCGCCCGCCATCCCCGTGAGCACGACCGGCAAGGATCTCCCCTACCCCCTTACCTGGAAGGGAGACCTGTCCTCCTCGGCGGCGGCGTACGATCGCAGCGGCAGACGATCCCGCCCTCCTGCCTGGTCCCCCATGTGGTCCTGCAACGCGGCGCTGGTCCGTCATCACCCTGCCGCCCCTCCTCAAGCCGACAACACATTGCGAGCTGCGGCCCGCCACCGCCCAAGGTATGTTGTGCACGAAGGGGAGCGGCTGGCCAAGCCTCCCCACCGTTCCACCCCTGCCTCCACTGCAGTGGCGCCCATCCCGCAGGGCCCAGTCGCTGTCACTTGCTACAAAACCACTAGCCACCAGGGACACAAGACAACAGGGGCACCTACCAACCACTAGCCACCAGGGACACAAGAAAACAGGGGCAACTGCATAAGCCTCCCCAGCCCTCAACCTTGCTGCCTCCCATCACCCGCTACGGCCCTGCATCCAGGCCGCACGCCACCACAGCTGAGCCCAAAGCCACACAAACCACCAGGCCAACCGCACCGTTCAGCCCCCACCTCACAACCCTACCACCTGGGTAGTTTGAGGGCAGGGAGAGGGCACCGGCGGACCCCCAACCCTACCGTGAAGGAGCAAGGGACCCGCACCACCTAGGCCTACCTCAATACCAAAGCACCTGGCCCGGCAGGGCCTGTAGCGGCCTACCACGACACACCCCTCCCAAAGGGAGCCAGCTTCTGGCCTAAAGGAGCTCCACCCGCACATCCCCACCCACACTCGTAAGAGTGACCTAAAGCAAGTGTTTTCCACACTACTGAGCCCAGCAGATGATCTTGGCCTGGTGAGGCCCACCATCACCTCCAACGACGCAACCCTGCTCTGACCTGCTGAGCCCAACGGATGACCTCGACCTGGTGAGGCCTACCATCGCCCACCACAACGCAACCCTGCACGGACCTGAAGCCCATCTGATGACCCTCGGGAGTACAGCGCGGGAGAAGGCCCGACTGTTGATTCTGCGATCCCCCCAGCCCTACTACGCCCATCTCCCACAGCTGATGCCCACCCCTCACAACCTTCTCTACACCTCATCTCCACCACCTGGAAAACACCTCCACTGCTGACGTTCACCCTTCATCTCCTCAAACCAAACCTCACCCCTCAAACTGAGACTTTTACAAACTGGAACTTGCAGCTTGACTACCCTTGGCCACAACCTATCGACCTGAACTCTACCCATCCTGATCCTAGGCACGAGAACTCTAGCTACCGGAAGACACAGCTACGAGATACGCCACTGCATGCTAGACTATCTGCAACCAAGCTTCCCACCACACCTGTCCGCCACTCCGTTTACCTCCCTAAAATGCCTACTTTATTCCTCCTCCTCATACTATTCTCCTCCGTTCCCAAAATCTCTTCTCTATATCCCTCTGCTCCTCCAAACAACTGTACATTGCGCCCTCACTGCTTCCTTCTCCCCTCTACGGCTCTCACCACCTCCTCCTGATACTCCACTCTCCCACTGACCCAAACACCTCCACTGGTAGATTTACGCGCTCTTGTACATCCCGCTCCCATGCCACCTTTCTCACCCTTCTTCTCCTAACCGCAGGGGACATCTCCCTGAACTCTGGTCCTCCACCACCTCGCTCGCTCACCCACAAGGCACCCTCCCACTTCCACGACCTGCCGCAACCCCCTCAATCTAATACCTGTCCCTCTGCTCCCCAAAACCACCCCCCGTTTTCGTGTGTACTCCTGAACGCCCGATCGGTTTGCAACAAGCTCACCGCCATCCACGGCCTCTTTGTTTCCCGCTCCCTCAACCTCTTAGCGATCACTGAAACCTGGATCCAAGCCACTAACTCTACCTCCCCTGTGGCACTCTCCTATGGAGGTCTCATCTGGACCCACTCACCCAGACCCAGCGGTTGAAAAGGTGGTGGGGTTGGTCTGCTCCTGTCACCGCTGAGCACCTTCCAAGTCCTCCCAAACACCCCCCTCTTTATCCTTCTCCTCCTTTGAGGCCCACTGCATCCGACTATTCTCTCTAACCCCCCTGAGGATTGCTGTAATCTATCGGCCTCCTGGACCAGTGTCCCGCTTCCTCAACGACTTCTCTGCCTGGCTACCCTTCTTTCTCTCTTCCGAGCTACCCACCATCATCCTTGGAGACTTCAGCATCCCTGTCAACATCAATAACCCGGCTACATCCCAACTCCTCCACTTAACCTCTTCTTTTGCACTCGCACATTGTATACAATCCACCACCCACTCCGACGGGAACATCCTGGACCTTGTCTTCTCCCATCTCTGCACTCCCCACAACCTCACTAACATCCCCTTCCCTCTCTCTGACCACAAATTTATTACCTTCTCCATCTCCTCGTCCTCAAACACCTACCCCTCCAAATGTCAAACTATCACCAGCCGAAACCTCCGCAAACCTGAATCCTGCCCCCTTCCACTCTGCAGCTGATCAACTTTACAACAGTATCCTTCCCCTGTCCTGCCCTGACCTGGCCACTACTGCTTATAACAACTCGCTGTCAACTGCTCTAGACTCGCTAGCGCCTCTTACCACACAAAGCATTAAACCCCGACCGCTTCAGCCCTGGCAGACTGATCACACCAATACTCTCAAACGACGCAGTCGTGCGCTGGAGCGACTATGGCGCAAAACCAGATCCCAACTAGCGTTCACCCAATAGAATTCTGCCTTTCACACCTACACTTCCTCCCTCCACACTGCCAAGCAAGCCTATTTTCTGACCCTCATCAATACCCTCTCCTCCAGTCCTCACCGGCTCTTCTCTACTTTCAATTCTCTACTCTCTCCACCCCCACCTTCACCCAGTACCTCACTCACCGCCCCCGAGATTGCCAATCACTCCAAAAACAAGATTGACGCAATTTGTAGGGACATCACCGCTACTCAGACTTCCACCCCACCTATCACCCCTCACACGGAAACCCCCTCAACACCCCTCTCCCTTGACCTCACCACTGTCCAGACCTCCACCCCACCTAACATCCCTCACACTGAGGCCCCCTCAACACTCCACTCCTTTGACCATGCTACCACTGAGGAGGTCACTAAGGTCTTCTCTGAAGCCCGCCTCACCACCTGCCCCCTAGACCCTGTCCCCTCACAACTCCTACGATCTCCCTCCTCCTCCATCCTACGCTCCCTCACCCACATCTTTAATCTCTCCCTCTCTACTGGCGCATTCCCCTCCCCTCTGAAGCACACCCACATCACTCCCATACTTAAAAAGCCCTCCCTGGACCCCACCAACCTGAACAACCTTTGACCCATCTCCCTGCTGCCATTTACATCCAAATTCCTTGAGCGCTTAGTCTATAATCGCCTAAGCTCCCACCTCAACGACAACAACCTCCTCGATCCCCTACAGTCTGGCTTCCGTCCCCTACACTCCACCGAAACTGTCTTACTAAAACTCACCAACGACCTGCTAACCACCAAAGCTAATGGCCACTATTCAGTGCTCCTACTCCTCGACCTCTCCGCGGCTTTCGACACAGTCGACCACCCCCGCCTCCTCAAAAAACTCCACTCTCTTGGCCTCAGAGACTCCACTCTCTCCTGGCTCTCTTCCTATCTATCACAACGCTCCTTCGGTGTTACCTATAACGCTACCACCTCCCCCTCGCTCCCCCTCTCTGTTGGGGTCCCTCAAGGCTCTGTCCTCGGGCCCCTTCTCTTCTCCATCTACACCTCCTCCCTTGGCCAACTGATACACTCTCACGGCATCAACTACCATCTCTATGCGACGACGATACGGAAATCTATCCCTCTACCCCTCGCCTCACCCCTTCAGTCTCCGCCCGAATCACTAGCCTACTGAACGACATATCGGATTGGATGTCACTCTACTTCATCAAACTGAACCTTTCCAAAACCGAGCTCCTAGCTTTCCCCCCAGCCCAGTGGTGGGCAACCTTTTTTTTCAACTGAGTGAAATCTCGCCAAAACCACGATTGAAATTTATTTTGAGAGCCACATTTTTAAAACTGAAAATACATCCCCCATATCCCCCATATAGTAATTCATCCCCCATAATAATTCATCCCCCATAGTAATTCATCCCCCATAGTAATTCATCCCCATAGTAATTCATCCCCCCTATAGTAATTCATCCCCCCTATAGTAATTCATCCCCCCTATAGTAATTCATCCCCCATATAGTAATTCATCCCCCATATAGTAATTAATCCCCCATATAGTAATTCATCCCCCATATAGTAATTCATCCCCCATATAGTAATTCATCATCCCTATAGTAATTCATTCCCCATATTAATTCATCCCCCATATTAAGTCCCCCCTGTGTCAATTCACTTACCTTTGCTCCGCGCGTTCCTCTCGTCGTGTTCCCGCGCCGTTCTGGTGTAGCATGAAAATCTGTCTCCTATGAGGATCTGTCCCCCTCGACGTATCTGCGCATGTGCCAGTTTCAGGCATTAGCAGCCGATCGGCGATCTCCGGCACATGCGCAGATACGTCGAGGGGGACAGATCCTCATAGGAGACAGATTTTCATGCTACACCGTCTTCAGGGCGGACTGTGAGAGAAGCCTAGCGGGAGCCTAGCTCCGCGGGCCGGATTAAAAGGTCCGCCAAGCCGTAGTTTGCCCATTGCTGCCCTATTGCCTGTCACCTGGTGGGCAGTGTGCTCCGGAGCCGCAGCCAAGGTGAAAAAGAGCCGCATGCGGCTCTGGAGCCGCAGGTTGCCGACACCCGCCCTAGCCCATGCCCCCCCCCCCCCCCCCCCCCCCCCCCCCCCGACTTCTCCATCACGACCAACAATGCCACCATCAGTCCCACCCCGCAAGCCAGAGTACTTGGTGTCATCCTAGACTCCAATATGTCCTTCCAGCCCCAGGTCCAATCGCTGACAAACTCATGTAGACTCCACGTCCGCAACATCTCCAAAATACATGCGTTGCTAACCCCAGAAACTACTAAGCAACTTATTCATTCCCTTATATCACAACTTGACTACTGCAACTCCCTCCTCACCGGTCTACCTCACCACAGGTTATCCCTGCTTCAGTCGATCCTGAATACTGCAGCCAAACTCATCCACCTTACCAACCGCTCCGTTTCTGCCACCCCCCTCTGGCTTCCAATTGCCCAACGGATCAAATTCAAAATGCTAACATTGACGTAAAAAGCTGTCCATAACACTGCCCCAAAATACATCACTGACCTGATATCCAAATACCACCCAAAACGTACTCTCCGCTCCTCACAAGACCTCCTATCTAGTTCCATGGTCACCTCCTCCCATGCCCGCCTCCAGGACTTCTCCAGGGCTTCCCCATCCTCTGGAACTCCCTACCCCAATCCATCAGACTATCACCTACTCTCCTCTCCTTTAGGCGCACCCTGAAAACCCACCTCTTCAGGGAAGCCTACCCCGCCCTCTGCTAACCGCCAATCTCCTCCACTCTTCCTACCACTCCATCCCCCACAGCTATTCCTCCCGTACCACTATCCCCTCCCTCCTAGATTGTAAGCTCCAAGGAGCAGGGCCCTCGAACCCCTCGTGTATTGCATTGTTATTGTACTGTTTCATGTATTGTCTCCCATTGTAATGTACAGCACTGAGCGAACTGTTGGCGCTATATAAATACAGTATAATAATAATAATAATAATAATAATAATAAAAAGTATACCCAAGTCAATTTTTATTTTTATTAAAGGAGGGGAATAGTTTAAACCCATGCCGGGTTTTTTTGCCATCTGTGCCCCACTTGTGGGAAGTAATAGGAAGCAAGAGTAAACTATCTCCAAAGTTAGGGGTAATTCTTTGTTTTCACAAGTGCAACAAGTGTCCCTAGGTTTTCCCTTTTATTCTTGTTCAGGTGACAAACTAAAAATATAAGATTTTCCCTCACTTTTGAAGTGAAAATGGTCATCAGGACAAAAGAGGAGGCACACAAGCTAAACTTACAGATTTTCCAACCCTATCTTCAAATTTATACAAAGCTAAATAAACTTCTGGCCTTTTAAATACACTTTAACCCTTTAAATCACAATCAAAAGGATTATCATAACAAAAATTGTGTTGAAAACTGTATTATCAAGCCAATATACCATACAATCAAAATTATCCTAAAAAACTGTTGTTAGTTCACATTTTCTGCACTTTTCCCACAAAACCCCCTATGCATTCCAGGATCCTCAGCACATTAAATACCACTGTTCAGCTAGCAAAAATGGTGGTTCCTTCCCTCTATATGAGCCAGCAAAAACTCCTTAGTGCTTGGGCTGGACATGCTAGTGGGAAGTGAGAGAGTGAAGTGCTCACATGCGCAGGTTAAACAAGCAAAAGCAGCTGATGGGGGTGCATTTCCAACATCCCGATTGTCCTACCATTATTAGGCAGGGCAAAGGGGGATCGAGTGTCAAGGATATTTTGTTGACAGGCCATGCACAGACTACACATATTGAAGGGGAAAAGGAGCACCTTTTTCACTGACTGAACAAAAATATATAAATGTGCTTGGGATCATGAAACACTGTTTTTTTTTGGGGGGAAAAGTGCAATAAAAAAGTGAACACTTTAAATTGCGGGGGCACAATGCACCAAATTCTCTGCATCCAAAACTACTGAAATGCAACAAGTGAACTTTCATTATTGCAGTTCTTACAAAACAGGAGCTCTGACATTGATAATCACTTAGAGGTTTGTAGGTTAAAATCAGTGCAGTACAAGTAATTAGGGAGAAAAGACAATACCGTTAAAAGGTCTCCAGATGCTTTTTTCCATGCTCTAAAATAAATGTCTGCAACATGGCACATCAATGACCTAGTATTAAGAAAATGAAAAAATTTTAAAAATTTCAGCACTGTCAAAAAAAAAATACACACAGAAAAACCTCAATTATAAACTATATCTATAGCCAAACCTTTATTTTTTCTCTTTTTTCCATTTTAACATAAAGAATGTTTTAAACCTTCAGGTGTTTATTTGCTGTCTGTAACATGTTAAAAAGATTTCCTTTAGCTTCCTGTTCCAAATACACAATAAGCAAAAGGAAATCTTTTCAATGTTGTGACCTGATCAGGCCAGATTAGCATCCCTGCTGGAAGATTTCACCCTTATTCTGGTGACAACTGCAAAACAGTGAACTTCCCATCATTTTCTGTTTCACTGCCATGGCATATACGGAAGGTGAATTAATCCAGTTTGAAAGCAAAGCAAACAAAAATCTGAGGAGGAGTCCCAACAGTTCTAAACACTTTTTAAAATTAGAAAACAAAAAAAAGAAAAATAGTTGTGGCTAGAGATACACTTAGGCCTTGTTTACATTCTGCAAGGGCACAAAGAAAACAACTGTTCTCTTTGTACCCTGTTTACAACACTGGTATCATGTGCAGATTTTTTCTGTGCAGGAATCTGCAATGTATATAAAACTCATAGCAGCTTCCTTGGCTGAAAAAAATAGGAGGGTTTAGTTCCACTTTGAGTAACAGCAGGTAGTAATAACATCTGATAATGGGTTAAAAATAAAAAAAGAAGAAAATGTAAAAATGCACAGCATGCACTAAAAATAAAATTTCTCGTTTGCTCCTTTTGGTCCACTGCAAGTATTTTGTGGGAAAGAATGGGCTGCGACTTGTCATGTGACTGATGTCCAAAGTTGCATGACAAGTCAAACAAGTGTGAATGAAGCCTCAGTGCAAAGAAAAAAAAAAAAAAAAACAACACCTGTTGATCGTGCCAGAAATTCAAAGCTGTATCGTGTCCTTTGCACACTTCCTGTTATCTCTAAGAGTCCTCCTAGTTTACTAGGCAGCAAGGCAAGGATCACGATGACCTTTTTTTTTCACCATCTCAGTCCTTATGAAGAGATTTCCCTTCACTTCCTGTTTCATAGCCAAACAGGAAGTGAAAGGAAATCTCTGCAAATTAGTGAATTCTTTGGGGACCTCCAGGTCACAAGAACTAGTGTCTCCATTGGAAGGTTTCCCCTTTCACTTTTATGGGGACAACCTAAAATTTGTGATTTTCTTTTACTTTCACTTTCAATGAAAATGGTAAACAGGACAAAGAGGGTGAATCACCTTAACGGGGCACAGACTGCAATAAACATTAAGTGTTCTAATCCCTCTTCACTCTATCCAAAACTAAAATAAAAGTGTTGCCTTTAGTTATAGTTTAAAGTGGATGTAAAGGCTCAAGGTTTTTTTTACCTTCATGCATTCAATGTATGAAGGTAAAAAACCTCTGTACAGCAACTCCCCCAGCCCCCCTAATACTCACCTAAGCCATCTCTCGATCCAACAATGTGCACTGAAGTCTCGGCAATCCCGGGACGCCTCTCCTCATTGACTGAGACAAAAGCCGGAGCCATTGGCTCCCGCTGCTGCCAATTTAAGCCAGTGAGCCAAAGAGAAGAGGGAGGGGGCAGGGCCAAGCCACAGCTCCTTGTGTGAATGGACACACGGAGCAGCAGGCTCCCCAATAGGAAGCTGCTTGCAGTAGGAGCACCCAACAGGAGGGAGGGGCCAGGAGCATCGGCAGGGGACCCGAGAAGAGGAGGATCTGGACTGGTCTTTACAAAAACCACTGCAGAGAACAGGTAAGTATGTGTTTGTCATTAAAAAAAAAAAAAAAAAGTAAGCCTTTAAAAGTGCTGCTAATCCCAGGACCCTGCATTCACTATATCTGGTATCTCCCACAGTACATGGAAGTGCAATTATTTTAGTAAAACTGCTAAATACCTTTTCTCATCAACAGTTAGAGCAGTCTTGTGACTTCTATCAGTGTCCAGCTGGTTAAAACTTGTAGTTTTTATTCTCCTCTCAATGCCCTACCAGATTACATAAACCCTGACCCTCTGTTCAGTGCTGGCTAGCCCTGTGCTCATCACATGCACCCTCCCAAGAAAGAGGGAAAAAAAAAAAAAAACACTAGCAATACACACCAAACTGAGCATATGTAGAGTGTCCCCGAGGCTGTGTTCTATCAGGAGATGAAATGGGGAACATAGAAGGGGAGGATCAGAGAAGACAGGATCAAACATTTTTTTTACATAATGCATAGGATTAACCCCTTCGGTTCCACAGCGAGCATAACAAGCATGCTTTACTGCATATACAGACTGATTTTTACTGTTGTGGGTTTAGTAACACTTTAATATATAGCGTTTTAAAAATTACACACATATACAGTTAGGTCCATATATATTTGGACACAGGCACAATTTCGTTTTTTTTTCCAGGTATTTACCAAAACATATTCAAGCTATAGTTATATAATGGATATGGGCTGAAAGTGCGCACACTTAGGTTTAATTTGAGGGTATGTACATCCAAATTGGAGGAAGGGTTTAGGAATTACAGCTCTTAAGAGAAGCCATCCCCCCCCCCCCTTTTTTTTTTTTAACGGATCAAAAGTAATTGGACATATGAATATAATCATAAATAAAATGTTAATTTTTAATATTTTGTTGAGAATCCTGGCAATGACTGCCTGAAGTCTGGAACCTATGGACATTACCAAAGACTGAATTGGTTTCCTCCTTTCTGATGCTTTGCCAGACTAACTGCAGCTGTCTTCAGTTGTTTTGTTTGTGGGTCTTTCTTTCTTTAGTTTTGCCTTCAGCATGTGAAATGCTGAATGGGGTTGAGATCAGGTGATTGACTCGGCCATTGCAGAATATTCCACTTATTTTCCTTCAAAAGCTCCTGGGTTGCTTTTGCAGTGTGTTTTGGATCATTGTCCATCTGTACTGTGAAGAGCAGTCCAATCAACTTTGCTGCATTTGGCTGAATCTGGGCGGACAGAATCTCTCTAAAAACTGTAGAATTCATCCGGCTGCTTCTGTTTTCTGTCACATCATCAATAAACACCAATGACCCAGTGCCACTGGAAGCCATGCATGCCCATGCCATCACACTGCCTCCATGTTTTACAGATGACGTTGTGTGCTTTGGATCATGACCTATTCCAAGCCTTCTCCACACTTTTTTCTTCCCGTCATTCTGGTACAGATTAATCTTAGTTTAATCCATCCAAAGAATGCTTTTCCAGAACTGGTCTGACTTTTTTAGATGTTTTTTGGCAAAGACTAATCTTGCTTTTCTATTCTTCAGGTTTATGAATGGTTTGCACCTTGTGGTGAGCCCACTGTATTTGCTCTCATGAAGTCTTCTCTTGATTGTAGACTTTGACAATGATACGCCCACCTCCTGGAGAGTGTCCTTCACTTGTCTGGATGTTGTGAATGGGTTTTTCTTTACCATAGAGAGGATCCTGCAATCACCCACCACTGTTGTCTTCCGTGGACATCCATGACTTTTTATGTTGCTGAGCTCACCAGTGCGTTCTTCTTTCCTCAGAATGTACCAAACTGTTGATTTGGCCACTCCTAATATTGCCGCTATCTCTCTGATGGATTTGTTTAGTTTTTGAAGCCTTACAATGGCCTGTTTCACTTGCATGGACAGTTCCTTTTAACTGATGACTTAGGTTCACAGCAATAGATTTCAAATGCATATACCACACTTAGAACCAACTCCAGACCTCTAACTTGCTTAACTGATGAAGAAATAATGGAGTAGCCCACACCTGGCCATGAAACAGCTTTTGGTTCAATTATTTATGGTCCCTTGAAAAGGGGGACTGGCTACTCTTAAGAGCTGTAATTCCTAAACCCTTCCTCCAATATGGATGTACATACCCTGAAATTAAACCCGAGAGTGTGTACTTTCAGCCCATATCTATTATAGAACTAGAACTTGAATATGTTTTGGAAAATACTTGAAAAAAAAAAAAAACGAAAAAATTGTGCCTGTGTCTAAATATATATGGACCCAACTGTACACATACATTCCTAACCACTTGCCCTCCAGAGGATTCACCCTCCTTCCTAACCAGGCCATTTTTTGCGTTACAGCGGTGCGTTACATTAACCGTTTCAATACCGTGCAATTTTACACCTTCCTGCCCAGGCCATTTTTCAGGTTTCAGCGCTCTCACACTTTGAATGACAATTGTGCGGTCATACAACATTGTACCCAAACTAAAATTTTATCATTTTCTTCACACAACTAGAGCTTTTCTTTTGGTGGTATTTAATCACTGCTGGGGTTTTTATTTTTTGCTAAACAAAAAAAGACCAAAAATTTTGAAAAAAAACCCCCACATTTTTCTTTGTTTCTGTTATAAAAGTTTACAAATAAATAATTATTCTTCATAAATTTAGGCCGAGATGTATTCTGCTACATGTCTTTGGTGAAAATAACCCAAATTAGGATGTATTTTTTAGTTTGTAGGAAAGTTATAGAGTTCACAAACTATGGTATAGATCTGATTATTGATCAATCCTGAAGTATTGACAGCCAATCTAATTTCTTGAGGTCCAAGAATGTCAGAATAGTACAGATATCCCCAAATGACCCCTTTTTGCAGAGTAGACAGTCCGACGTACTTCATAAGAGGCATGGCGAGTTTTTTGTCATAATTTTTCGGAAAATGAAAAAATTAAAAAAATAATTTTCACTATTTTTTTTTTTACATACTGTCACCAGTGCAGTACAGCGTCATTATATAACTGGCATGGCGGTGAACAGGGACACTGACTGGTGACAGTATGAAAAAAAAAAAATATATTTTTTATTTTTTTTATTATATTTAATTTTTTATTACATTTTTTAAGATTTCTTTTTCATATTTTACTATGACCAAAGTAGTACAATGTTACCATAGTAACATTGTACTACTTTGGGGAAGTGATCAGTATTTTTTTTTTTTTTTTACACACAATTTGCTTATAGCAAAGAATTACTTTGCTATAAGCAAGCATTTACCTGAATGAAGTCGATTCATTCAGCTTTTTTTTTTTTTTTTTTTTTTTTTTGTGCTTAGCTGTGATTTGGTCACAGCTAATCACATGACATGTGCATGTGATTAGCTGTGACCATTCACAGCTAGGCACTAGTATACAATGGATGGCATCATGAATGAAGCCATCCATTGTATACAACTGTCATGTGACCTGCTGTGATTGGTCACAGCAGGTCACATGGTACCAGCAACGGGAGCCGGTACTCGGATCTGTCATCGGCCGTGTCCGAGGTCCGAGGTGCACGGCCGGTGACAGATCGCACTGCTGCGCCGCTCTGCATTAGCGCAAACGGCGCATGTGCGGGAGCACGCCAAATGGCGTGCACCTGGAATGCAGGGACACATTTGAAGCCGCCAAACGGCCATTGGCCGGGCGGCTAATGGTGAACTGACAATTGAGCTGTCATGCAACGTTGCACCCAAATGAAATTTACATCCTTTTTTTCACACAAATAGTTTTTTTTGGTGGTATTTGATCGCCTGTGCGATTATTTTTTGCACTACTATAAAATAAAAAAAAATAAAAAAAAAAAAAAAAAAAATAAAAAGGACCGACAATATTGAGAAGACAAAGAAACAATTTTTTTTACTTTTTGCTATCAAACATGTCCAGTAAAAAATATTTTAAAAAATCTAATTTCATCATAAATTTAGGAGAAAAGGTATTCTGCTGCATGTCTTTGCTGAAAAAAATCACAATATGTGGAAATTAATTGGTTTACATGAAAGTTATAGTATTTACAAATGCGGTATATATACTGGGATATTTTTTTTTTCTACTAGTAATAGCGGCATTCTGACACTGGGGGGAACTGACTTGGTGTCATTGACACCAAACACAGTGATCAGTGCTAATAAAAAACAAAACACTGATACTGTACTAATGGCACTGGGCAGGAAGGGGTTAACATGTGGGGCAATCAAAGATTTAGTATTATACTCACAAGTTGATATAAGTATATGTTCATCTCATGAAAGCAGCACAAAGCAATCCTCAAAATAATAAGATGTAATAGAACGATGGAATCTCAACAGGCTGACGTGTTTCGAGGACTTCACTTCAGAGCTCTGGGTGGGCTCTGAAGAAGAGGATAAGTCCTCGAAATGTGTCAGCATGTTGAGATTACACACACACACACACACACACACACACACATTATATATATATATATATATATATATATATACATACACACACACATATATACACACACATACACACATACACACGTGATTTTGCGCCCCCCTGCTGCCCTGTAGCAGTATATCTGCTATAGGGTGGTGGGAAAGCGGCTAATGTATTTTTAATGTTTTAAAATTATTTTACATACTAGAGATGCTACAACCTTATTATAATCATTCAAAAATAAAAAGTTTTCGCAACAAATCCAATAAATTTCTTTTGATCGAAAATACACATTTCTCAAATGTCAGAGCATTTGAAGCATGTACAGGCACATTTAAATACTTTCAAAACAAACCAGTGATTTGAAACTACTGCTGGATTTCGATGCATGCTCCATCCTCAATGTTATATCCTTTATTTAAAGTGGAACTTTTGCTAGATCACTTCAGGCTGTCCCCTTTTGCAGGTATAGCCATGTAAAACATTAAAATGTTTACAAGCCAGTAATATAACGCTCCACTGTGTTCATATGCTCAGTTGTTCTCTACTTCTCAATACTGTGCAGATCTGCTGATAGCCAAAGATTTACTGCTGCTCAGGGGCTCTGGTCTTCAGTAAAATGGCAGCATCCACAAAGAAAAAAACAAGAGCAATACTGGAGGCATTTTATAGTACACACCAATTTTGGTACCACAATTATTAATGTGGAATGAGTGCATCTTGCTAAAGAACATTATTTTTCACCAAGTTCCGCTTTAACAAACACCAAGAACAATGAATGGCAATTTAGAAGCCAATGAGAAATGTGCTCATCCTCATACAGAAACTTTTAACAGAATTTTGACAATGTAAACCAATATTTAGCAATAACAATGACAGCATAGCTTTAAATTTACATACTTTGGTAAATTGGGAAGCACGTTTTTAATTGTTCCATGAATTATTTTAATGAAGTTGATGTCCCAGCTGAAGATAAAGCTCAGAAACCGCCGTCCCTAATTACAGAAGAGGGAAAGTAAGTTAATTAAAAACAAGTTTAGAAGAATATAGTCAATCATGACTGTTCATTAGTTGAAAAGCAAGTTTGTGCTGATGCTCAGCTACATATGAGGTCTAGTGGCAGGAGACTAGCCCGTTGTCTCATTTGCAAAACACAGAAATAAGTGTGTGGTACACGCAGTAGCTAAAGTGTTATAATTCTCACATTTAAAACCTTATATAAAAGTTTATTCCCACTTTATCGTTTCAGGTAAACTTATACTTTGCTCATTCTGGACAAAGTAACAGGATCATATTAATGTAAAGGCCTTAAAGCGGTAGCAAACCACAGTTAAATAAATAAAATCCCCTACAAGGTAATAGCATAATGTGCTTGTATGCATCACATACTAGCACATTATGAAAGACTTACCTTAAAACGAAGTCCTCCAGCGGCGCACTGTCACTGCTGACACGGCTTCCATCTTCACGGGTCTTCCTTCCTGGTTCGCGAGCTCCGGCCATCTGACTGGCTGAGCCACAATGATGTCACTCTCGCGCATGCACACAGGAGTCTCAGGACACAACACAATGCTCTGAAGGAACGGTACATAATTTTCAGGTTTTGGGGAACCCCTGGTAAAATCTATGCAGTGGGTGGAATGCCCCCTTACATTAGTGGACAATGGGGGGAAAATGCCCTTGTTACAGTGGTGGTCAGACTGCCACCCCATCAGGACCCAAAAGGACCATTGGTGTAATGCTGCTGGCTCTGCCAAGTGGTGTTGGCCCCAAATTTATGCAGGCACAATCCTGTGGGAGGTCAATCAGCTACAGCTCAAGGAAACCATAGCACCCGGTGGAGGAATCCCAGGGTTCTATGGAACCCTGGTTGAGAATGGCTGCCCTAAGGTAAAGCCACTTACCTTCTCCTTGCTTACCCACCAATCCATTCTGCCACCTGCTGCTTGGGAAATATCTGGTATGTCATACCGGGTGAACTTCCCACAATGCAGCTCTTAGTCCCTGAGTGCCTATCCCCAGACCTGAGTACTATCATAATATGGAGCAGTATTTGCGATATCTTCCAGACAAGCAGTGGACTACAGAGAAGTTATATACCCTTTCACTGCCAGAGCCGGTTTGAGTTTTTCACAGGTTAAAATAAAATTTAAAAAAAAAAAATGTAGGCCTAACAATTACCCCTTAAACATTATACATTTTCTGAAAGCAGGCAAGCTAGAAAATAAAAGTTCCAATTTTCTATGTCACATGATATTATTGCAATGGTTTATCATCGAATCATTATGTAAAGGTGCAACATTTCTATTTAAAAATACACTACAGTTAATTTTAGGGCACACAACTACTATACAATAAAGCCCCCCAACTAAACGTTTTTGTTTTTGGGGTGACAGGTTCTCTTTAACGAGACATCAGGGGTCTAATAGACCCAATGTCTCACCTGTCCTCCATTTAGGCTAATGAAGCGTATTAGCCTTACCAATCACATTCAAGTTTCCAAGCCAAGTTTGAGTCTGATTGTTGCTATGAGTGGCTTTTTAGCACTGACTTTTAACATCGAGTCCTTTGCATGTGAGAGATATTAAAGTGGTTGTAAAGGCTGAAGGTTTTTTTTAAACTTTATGCATAAAGGTAAAAAACCTTCAATGTGCAGCTCCCACCTATTACCTACCTGGGACCTATCTCAATCCGGAGATGTGCACGAGAGTATTGGCTCAGACCATTGGCTCCCGCAGCTGTCAATCACAGCCAGTGATGAGGGGGAGTGTGGGGCAGGGCCAAGCCATGCTCTGTGTGTCTTATAGATCAAAATGTAGTTTGTGGTCACTTGCCTGAAAAGGGGCCCTGTATGGCTCCGAAACGTTGCCGCAGTTGATATTATGTGACCACTAAATAAAGCTTTGAACCCTTTGGAGGATTCCTTGGTGTGCTGGTGACATTTTTCTCTCTTATAGACACACTGAGGCAGCTTAGGAGCAAGTACACGAGTGCCCCCACAGCAAGAAGTTTTCTATGGTGGGTACTTAGCAGGGGAGGAGGAGCCAGGAGTACCATCCGAGGACCCAAGAAGAGGAGGATTGAGGCTGCTCTTTGCAAAACCATTGCACAGAGCAGGCAAGTATGATGTTTGTTATTTTTAAAACTAAAATTATGAACCTTTAGTATCACTTTAAGATTCCTGCTGTAGTTTATTTAGGAATACATTTCCTGTATAACAAAATTGAGGCGTCAGATCAACATCAAGGTTTCATTTTCATTCCTGACTGGAGTATTTTTAGCCTATCATGCTTAATCAATGTACTTTATTACTTTAAAAAAAAGTTACCTCTTCTTTCTTAATGTGGTTAATACACATAGAGCACTGGAGCAACAAATTCCTCACTTCATTACTGTCTTCTGAATTGTAATCAAAATTGAGGAGAGCTGCATGAAATTGCCACAAGCGATTGATGTCCACAGCCTATTACAAGAGGAGCATTAAGATATTATAACGGCTTCCACATTTACAAATAAAATAAAAATAACAGAACCATAGTTCATGTACAACCCGAATTTAAATAAAAAAGTGTTCCATTTTTTTTAGTTACACTAATTTATGAAGACAATACATGAAGAAAAACACAACAGAATATGATGTGGATTACAAATGTCAATAGTGAGCTTCTGATATTTGGATAATAAAAGTTTAATAGTTCACAGCAATGGCTGGTCAGCAGCTTCAGTGTCCTCTAGGAATGTCACTGGCTGTGGCCACATCTATTCTGAAAGACTAGAACATCCAACTGTAGAGAGGGCTCAGGTAGCCTTCAAATCACCACGCCATACTGTTCTTCAGGGGTCAAAGCTTAGAAAAAATAATTCCAGGTTATTGGCATGTGCATACTCATAAATAACTACTAAAACAGTAGAAGACGACAAAGTTTTACTGTGCATACCAGACGTTTCGGTCCAATTGACTTTGCCAAGAGCATTGAAAAAGCAGTTTTTCCAAATTCCTCTCTCTTTTCTAAGCCCTTCTCCCACCAGGCCTCACACAGTCGCTGGATGGCAAGACGGACATGGGATTCTGACTTGGGTAAAGCTTCCAGAATACCTGCAGTTGAACTAAACTTTAGTTTAAAATGAAAAAGTTAGATTGCCAACTGACAACTACTAGTTGCCTAGCAGTCATGATGATTTTCTGGTTTTACTATCTGGTGGCTGACCAGTCATGCTTGTTTTGTCAAGTAGTGAAACCAGAGGATCAGGTAGGCAAGGCAAATCATTTCAATGCACATTTTTCTATCACGACAGACAACCTGCAGTCCAGTTGCCAAACACAAAAACAGAATGCCATTTCTTTAATGTGAATAAATTCACACGGGACCACAGGGTATACGGGGTGAAAGAAAAGGAGCAAGATGAAGAAAACAAAGGCTATGATGCTTAGCCTGGTTCATGTCCCTGTTCTGGAACATGACTGCAATATTATTATTATTATAATACAGGATTTATATAGCGCCAACAGTTTGCTCAGCGCTTTACAATATAATGGGAGACAATACAGCAACAATACAGTTCAATACAAGAGGGATAGGAGGGCCTGATCCTTGGAGTTTACAATCTAGGATATCTCACTAGGGGTAGGTTAGAGAAGAAAAAGTCGCTAAAAATTACAGCTCCTTTTCCCTTTACGTTTCCCCTGACCTGTGCTAGATCATATAATTTAAAGCAGCCTGCTGAACAGCACCTTTTCAGCTGTGGTTTCATTTAACAGCTGCGACATCACCACGCTGTCCTGTAGTGTTGTAGTAGTCAGCAAGTGGTTCTGCAAAAACGCAAAGACTGGGATCACTGCCTGCTATACAAATATCAAAACACTACCCTCATTTTTGCTTTTCCCACTGATAGGGTAATTTTAACCATTTTACTGATACTGCCATATGTGATACAGCGGTGGCAGCAGGGGGTATTACACACACGCCAAAAGCCGGCTGTAAGCTGATAATCGACCAGGTAGTTGTGCAGCTGCCTGATCACAGTGACCCCCAAAACTGCACCCTTGTTGGATTGTAAACCTGATTACTGCCCAGTCACACCCAATCTACATCTGAGTTATTTTTGTCTTACCATTTAAAATTGAACTCTGGGAAAAATAAAAGTCCTCCCTTAACCTCCCTAGCAGTCTGATTATGTCAATATTTCTATGCTCAAAGTGGTACATTTTTTTGCATGGAAAAGTCGTTTTGGTGTAGGCCTGTAATTTTTAGGAATAACTCACTGAAATCTGTCTAGTAAACATCCCGGGTATGTTAAAATTTGAAACACGAAATCATAAATAATCTAATAAATAATAATTTAATAATACATTTAATTCAATAATATAATCAAACCAAAAACACTGAAATTTTAAATAGTTCACACATCACTGAGCAAAGTCGCAAAATTGTTTTCAGTGTCTGATGACGAATTTCCCCACAAATCATTATCACTCAATTCTGCAAGTGGTTCTAATTTACTATCTCTGTTCTCTAGCTGGTCTAAAACCGCTTTTGACCTAAAAGGGATGCTTTTTGGACGCCATGGACTTTTCTCAGTTTCAAGGCAGAAAGAACAGTAAAAATGCAGGCAGGGCCAGGACAAAGCACTAGGGACATAATGTATGTGAAATGCTTTGATACAGTAATGTTATACTATGTGATTTTAGTGTATTTAGTGAATGACACTTTTTAACATTTTTTAAATTTCCCGCCGGTTCCATCCCCCATACGTCCCGACGCTCACAGGGAATGGAACCTGGAAGACGGATGCCGGCATCGGCCGGAGTAGATGGCCGGGGACAATGCAGGGGGGGGGGGGGGGCATCACGGGAGCGAAGGACAAGGTAAGTGCTGGAGGGATCCCAGAGCAACACTGCAGGGTATTCCCGAGTGTAGCTCAGGGTTACCGCTTTTGGTACTGAAAGTTTACCCCGAGCTACACTCGGGAATACCGCCAGGGAGGTTAAAGTGGGGCTAAGTCTGTACTACATCGGTTAAAGAAGGATAAGTTCACCTTTGGGAACATGTTCCACGACATTTTCAGGGTGAAACATGTAACATGTTCCCAATGCTGCTGCAGCCTCCGTCCGCATCATTCATTCACAGTTTGCCTTTACAGCTGTTGGCTTGTAGTTCTCAATGAACTACCATGGCACTTATACTGACAGGTCTGCAGGAGACCTGCATGGCGATCTGCTGATGGCTGGTGCAATGCTTTATAGGCTCCTGCAAAAAATGTGCATTTATTATTTTTGGGCAACAGGTGAACTTATCTTTTAACTGCTGCTTTATGTCTAGGTAGATCGGGTACAGATGTTTTACTTACCAAATTCCCCGCTGCAACAGGCTCCAGCCCACTGCAAGCCCAATCCTGTAGTCTCTTCCCTCTGTGCTCCTGAGATTAAGGTCCTCTGATGTCATTAAGCCCAATTTAGGGCTGATAGCCCTGCACCATAGTTGAGGATGCCAAAGGGAAGTACACAGTAGGGGAGTGGAAGATCAGGTAAGTAAAAGTCCTGTCCTCTAGACAAAAACGTGCCGTTAACTGCTGCAGTGCGAGCACAGGATGTATAGTTTTCTAAGAAAAACTTGGGCTTTAAATGTTCACCTAGCCCAATGGGTCACATCTTTTTGGGACAAAGCATGGGCAAAACTCAATTGCAATGCTCATTTAGCAGTTTCCACTACTTCTAATGAGAAAAAAAAAACCTGCTCAGCTATATCAATTTAGAATGCTTTCTATTTCAACAAAAAAAGTTGAAGTAAAATAAAGTACTTTACCATTAAGAAGGCCAGCACATTCCAGAAGAGCTTGATAACCCATGTCCTCTTCCACCACAGACACAGAGACTGTTGCCACAATGGTCACGCCATGTATAACTTCCATAGTGTTTTTTTCTAAGCGAAAAGAACAGAGTGCTGTTTGGAATGTGTCTACACTCACTTTAACAATGTAAATTGTCAGCAGAAGGTTAATGCAGCAACCAATGGATGCCCACATATTTTCTGGAGCCCCCAATAAAACAGCAGCCCACTGATTTCACTCACGATAGGTCTCCAACTTCAAATGTGTTAAGAAACAAATATATATGAATTATGATAGTAGCTGTTTATTGTGAAACTACAACAAAATGTATTTTATATCTATTGATCAAACACGAAAAAACCCCCAAAACTTAAATACATAACCCTTTTGTGTATTTGAATAAAAGAAAATGTCACTTACCACTTCAGAAGATCCTTCTACTTCCATGTCATCGTCACTGTCATCAACTATTTTGTACCACGATTCTACTGGATTTGCCACCAAAGTATCCATCAGTAAAATCTTCAGTTTCTGCCATAATTCTTCCTTATGCTTCCTCGGCAGTTCTTGCAATATCTCTTCCAGATCAAAAGGATCTGTTGCATCTTTCTACAATGTAATAAGTCCCCACATGACATCTTAATATATCAGTTCTACAAAGATGCAAGCCACAGATGAGACAAGCCTTAACCATCAACTTGGAGGGGAACACCATCAGCAAGTCCTTTTTAGGTAACCTCTATTTATCTCTTTGCCATAGAGGCAATGTTATGTCCATTATGGACTGAAGATAGTCTTCTAGACCAGTAGGGAGACCAGGGTCCTGTAAAATCTCCCAAAACCTTCAATGCCTCAACAAGGCTGTTATTAACAAGTATATTGTGATTAGCCTGTTGCCAACCCCCATTCTAAACCCTCCCTACTTGGTTTGGGCTATAAACAATTTATATCCAACTTATAAGAAACTATAGGGTGATCTATTAAGACAAAAGAAAAAAAAAACATAGCACACAATTGTGATTGAGCCCTGACTGGGTGAAATGCGTTAGTGGGGCAGTCCAAGGGTGGGGACTGCCATTGCTATACCTGTGAACACTTTCTATGAGAAATATGGGCACTTGCAATCTTTCCAGCGTGCGGTAGTCTTTTCCTTCACAAGCACACAAATGCAGTTCCATCCCACAGCAACTCAACAAATTCTTAGTTAATGTTTCTCCCAAAATAAACTGTGAAAGCTGATTAGTTCCTAATGGTTATAATGCCAGTTCTTTGCATACTTTCAGTTCTCATGTTTACTGTAATGTTAGTCCTTGGAGCAGACATTTTTCTACAGCAACGTGTAACATGAATGCATGCATCAATTAGAACAGATACAAACTTGCAACAAACAATTTCAAACTGGGTATGAATGAAAGAAGAGAAATCACAGGGCAGTTCTGAGCCTGCAAACAGTTGAAGTTTTCAGGATGATGGCAGTGTGCAGCTCCAGCAATAGAAGGGACCACAGGAAAATAACTGAAAGTTAGGCCTAATTCAGAACTATGCATTTTTGGTGCTTTTTGCAAAAATGCATTACAGTCCATTTACCATGGTTTCCTATTGGACACATTCACATCTATGATTCTTTCAGCTGCTGTGTTTTTGGAAAGGGTCTGGGACTGTTTTAACAGCAAGTACAGTGCATATCATTTAGCGGTCTTTATCCCTGTAGGCTTCACAAAAACTAAATGAGACGTTATTCCTTAGTTGAAATATGTATTCCTTCAACCATTTTCTGTATCTGAAGAAGACATGCCTAGCCATTACTGGAATTAAAAGCTCTTTGCAATTTTTGCAACAAGCAGACAGCTAAAGAATCTGCACTGAATGTGCAGTTATCCTATAAAATCAGAGCTGTTGATGGTGTTCTTTCTTCATTTTTTAACTATTCAGATACCATTTTAGCACAAAATATCTTCCAAAAAAAATCTACTTTAATAATATTGGTAAAAATGAACTACAGGCAAAAATAAATGAGCAGTTAGTCACATTATGTGCTAGCCTTTCTGCTGAGATTTTCTGAAATTTGTACACCTTCCTTCTTGATTTTAAAGTTTGTCAGACGCTTTTAAAACACTTATTAGTGGCACTTTTCAAACCATCAAATAAAGGGAAGGGTTAAGACTGCAAAAGGTATAGTAAACGTGATCATCACATGATTAATGCAAGCTTTAGAAAACAAGCACATGCTTGAAAATCAAAAACAGTTTTAAGACCACCAATTCCCCCAGTTCTAAGCAAGTCCCTTTGTTTCCATAGGCACCATCTATAAAGACTAAAAAAAAAAAAAAAAAAATAATAATAATCAACATGTGTCTTACTTTTATTGTTACAATCAGCTCATAAATGGAAAAAGGGTATGTTAGAATATGTAAACAAAAACTATATTTTTGACCATCCTGGGCAAAAATGTCTTATATAATGTCCTGTCCACCCCTTGTGTCATGAGACCATTTTAAAGCGATATTAAACCCAAAAAATATTATATTGCAGCTTACCGATAATTAGATGTGGTGGCTGCATAGGCTCTATTTTCTTTGACTTTTCCCCCTCTTTTTTCACCTGGTGATCTGGCCAGTAACACACCTCCTGTATTAGTGAGACATCTGTGGCAGAATGAGCACAGGAGACACAACAGACAGTCTGGGGGAAGTGGAGTGTGAAATGTACCAGTAGATTTATACAACAACAAATTAAAGCTAAACTCCAGCTAACACCTTATAACTGAGTATAGCAACAGCTTTTTTTTCCCATTTTGGGATAAAGGTTTTACATTAATAAAAGCTGATAAATTTAATCACCCCGTTTAGTGTTAAATGGATCGCCTCATCCACGTAAACTGATACATTCTGCTGGAGAGCTTGAGCTTCTGAAAAACAGATTTACTGGCTGGATCACCAGATTAAAATAGAAGAAAAGCGTAAGCGTAACCCATAAGAAGCATTGCTATTTAAACCATTAGTGGGCCTACTCCGTCCTGAGCGGCAGCTGGCATCGCATCTATTTATGGCTACCAAACTAACGATCACGAGGGCTTGGAAGACCCCTCTCCTCAGCTTCTAAGCAGTCAAAAATCAGATGAATTTTATAATGGTTAATGAGAAACTGACGGCCATGTTGTTGGACACTCACCCGAAGTTTCTACAGATTTGGCATCCCTGGCTTGATACAGCCCAACCATCTAGATTTGATCAGACCCTTTTGTCAATATGAGACTTTTTTTGCCGCATTCCTGGAACCCCCCCCCCCCCCCCCCCTTTTTTTTTTTTCCCTCTCTCTCTCTCTCTTTTCTTCATTCCTTTCTTTCCCTTCTTCTTCTCTGTTCTGTTTGTCTTCATGATATTTGTGCTGATTGTAACCTCTTTTCTTTTTATATAAAAAAAACTGCACCAGCAATATTGTATTTATCTGTTGGCCTTCCTTGAGAGTCCTGGATGTGGAATGCCAGTGTGCATCCGGTGAGGCTCTGTGTTCCACCTTTCCTGCCTTTGATCATTGTAAACTAGTTCCATAGACTCTAATTGCCCACCATTTTTGCAAATTGTGATGCTTTATTTTATCTCTTCATATGCTGCACTTGTGTACTAAGTTTATTTCTTTGTCTATACTTCTGTGCATTTTTTTTGTACTATTCATCAGAAAACTTGTAAGTTTTATTTGTTGTTGGTCAGTGCTCTTGTTTCTGATTGTTACTCTGTCGTCTATTCTTTAATAAAATCCATTGTAAAAGAAAATAGAAGAAAAGTCGTAAGAAAATTAATTCAGCAATTACATCTAAGAGTTGGCAAGCTAAAATACAATAAACGTTTGCTTTTGTGTTTAATACTGCTTTAAGTAAAAATTACATTTAGATTGTGCTATGGGCAGCAGCAAGGAGGTTTGCTTTCCAGGTTACCAAAGCAGTAAGGAGCCTTTTGAATGCCCTCAACATCTCCATAACCTTTCTCCAAAAGCTGCCTTTCTTGGTGGCAACTCCCAAATTACTTTCTTGTTTTGGAACCTTGCTGCCCTAGCATATGGCCCACATATACCAATATGGGAAATACAGCCCTGTGTGTTCAACAGGAGAGTGATGTTAGATTAGGATAATGGAGGCTGTCAACACAATGTACAGTAAGGTCCATATATTTGGACACAGGCAAATTTTAGTTTTTTTTTCCAGGTATTTACCAGAACATATTCAAGCTATAGTTATACAATGGATATGGGCTGACAGTGCACACTCTCAGGTTTAATTTGAGGGTATATACATCCATATTGGAGGAAGGGTTTAAGGAGTAGCCATCCCCCTTTTTCAAGGGACCAAAAGTAACTGACAATTGAATCAAAAGCGGTTTCATGGCCAGGTGTGGGCTACTCAATTACTTGTTCATCAGTTAAGCAGGTAAAACGTCTGGAGTTGATTCTAAGTGTGGTATTTGCATTTGGAATCTATTGCTGTGAACCTACATCTATTCAAAGGAGCTATCCATGCAAGTGAAACTGGCCATTGTAAGGCTTCAAAAATGAAACAAATCCATCAGAGAGATAGCAGCAACATTAGGAGTGGCCAAATCAACAGTTTGGTATATTCTGAGGAAAGAACGCACTGGTGAGCTCAACAACATAAAAAGGCATGGACATCCATGGAAGACAACAGTGGTGGGTGATTGCAGGATCCTCTCTATGGTAAAGAAAAACACATTCACAACATCCAAGTGGAGGACACTCTCCAGGAGGTGGGTGTATCATTGTCAGTCTACAATCAAGTGAAGACTTCAGGAGAGCAAATACAGAGGGTTTACCACAAGGGGCAAACCATTCATAAGCCTGAAGAATAGAAAACCCAGATTAGACTTTGCCAAAAAACATCTAAAAAAGCCAGACCAGTTCTGGAAAAGCATTCTTTGGACGGATGAAACGAACATTAATCTGTACCAGAATGACGGGAAGAAAAAAGTGTGCAGAAGGCTTGGAACAGCTCATGATCCAAAGAGTCATCTGTAAAACATGGTGGAGGTAGTGTGATGGAACGGGCATGCATGGCTTCCAGTGGCACTGGGTCACTGGTGTTTATGGATGATGTGACAGAAGCAGCCAGATGAATTTTGCAGTGTTTAGAGATATACTGTCAGCTCAGATTCAGCAAAGCTGATTGGACGGCGCTTCACAGTACAGATAGACAATGATCCAAAACACATTGCAAAAGCAACCCAGGAGCTTTTGAAGGAAAAGAAGTGGAATATTCTGCAATGGCCGAGTCACTCACCTGATCTCAACCCAATTGAGCATGCATTTCACTTGCTGAAGGCAAAACTAAAGGCAGAAAGACCCACAAAACAAGGAACAACTGAAGACAGCTGCAGTTAGAGCCTGGCAAAGCATAAGAAAGGAGGAAACCCAATCTTTGGTAATGTCCACGAGTAAAGGATTCTCAACAAAATTTTTAAAAAATGAACATTTTATTTATGATTATATTAATTTGTCCAATTACA